TCCTTTTGAAAGGCCTTCGGCAGGCGTCGCTCATTCAGAGGCAGCAAGTCTATATAGGGACACATCTTGTTCCATAAAAACGTTTGATAAGCAGACATATAAGTGGCATAATGTGCCATCCTCGTAATCAGTCCTGCGGCTATATGAGCCTTCTTTCCCAATGTATCTATCTTTCTACCTTCTTTATCAGAAGGCGCCGTTTTCTTAGACTTCTTCCCTTGGCCAACCTCCGCTACAACTGTGTTGGGTATAAAAGGTTTGTAAACCCAATCAGCAGTAGATAGATCCAGTCTGTAAATGTTATCTACCCTTCTCGGTATAGCTGGTGCTGATACTGGAGACCCTTCTGGTACCTTAGTAAGTTTAAGGAGGTATGGCAATACTGGTAACGTGGTATTATTTGTTGCCTCCTGTTGATCCGCCGGAAACATAGGATCTTCTACTGGTTCCGGCGGTTTAGGATTAGGCAAGTCTAGCGCTTTAATAAGTCTGGTTAACATAGCTGTAAATTTAACAACATCATCATTAACATTAGACGCAGGGCCTTTACGTCTTGCGTCATCATGTGTAGGCAATTCATCATGAGACGTATCAGTCAAGTCCATCTGCTCTGATAAAGGAGCTTCATTACTATCATCTTGCTCTGACAGCGGGTCGTCTAGCAAAGCCACTTCGCCTGATACAGAAGCTAAGTGTCTGTGTGCTCTTGCAGCCCTGGGCTCATGGGGTCTCATATCAAACCCATTTGGGTTATTGGTGCTCTGCCAGCGATAAGGAGGTGGGAAGCCTCCATAAAAGATAGGGCCTTGTGGTGTCATTTGCCAGAAACCCCCTTGAGGGAGTCCTTCTCTCATCTCCCTTCGTGAGCCAGAGGGTGAATGGGAGCAACACCTCACTTCTTTGTCAGTGTGTGTCCTGCTTCGTCTGCTCCTTCCCCTCTGGCACCTTTTCTTCGCTCTTGGAGGGGAGGAATCAGAAGAGGAACCTGAAGAGTTGCTGGAGGTACTCTTCGACGCCGAGCGTTCCCGGCGCCGATGCCCTCCTAACTTCTCTCCCCCGGCGTCGGTTGCGCGGCGCGAGGGAGCTTTCGCCCGGCTCCGCACAATACGATCATCCTCTCTAGCCGAGGAGGGGCCGGGCGCTTGGGAGGAGTCAGTAGGGGGAGCTTGGTTCGGCTCCTCCCTCGAAGCCGCGACATAGACCATGGGAGGAGCCGGCGCCGATAGCGTCGGCATCGGGGGAGTGGTTTGGTTCTCCCTCGCCTCTTGCGCATGCGCCGGTCATTGTTTTGCAGATCCCGGCTCCGCCTCTCTCAGGGACGCGTGCAAGGGAGCGGATCCTTCTCCTCCGGTCGTTTCCTTTGCGCTCGCTGGCTGTTTAGGCTCAGCATGAGCGATCATCTTCTTGGCCGGCTTAAGGAGTAGGCTTGGGGCCTTTTCCTTAGTTCTTTTTGTTTTCTTTGGCCGCGCCATTATCACAGTGGAAGACGATGACTCAGGTAAATCCTTATCGTTTACTGAGCTCTCATCGCCAGTTTGCCTCTTCGCAGGCAATGGCGGAAGAAGCGCCTGCTCATAGAGAGCTGCTTTAAGACGAATCTCCCTCTTCTTCCTCGTTTGAGGCGTGAAGAGTTGGCAAATATTACATTGTTGATGCATGTGCTCTTCGCCAAGGCAAACAATGCAAAGAGAATGCGCGTCATTATCCGGGAAATTAGATTGGCAAGCTGTACAGCGTTTAAATCCTGTAGTATGAGACATCTCAGTTGATATCTCACAAACACTTCTTTATTAATTGAAGCTTAGAGTCTCAATTTATCCGAACTGCCTGAATGCGGCGGTTAAAGAGAACTGACCGTTAGCTCCATTTGGGGCTATTTATGTGCTCGGAGGTGGGCGTGGCTTAGCTAACGGTTTAAGAGAGTCTCGAGAATGTCCGATGCTGCCTGCGCGTGCGCAGGAATTACCATAGGTGCAAATCACAGGTGGTCACGAGGGGAAAGGAAGGCCTTTTCTCATGTTCCCACCAACCAAGTTTGCAATGGAGGTGGGATCGAGAGAAGGGCCTCTCCTGAAGATCTTAGGGCCTGGGCAGGTTTGTACAAGTGGATGCAGATCAGTTCAGCCTGGAACTGAACTGTCTAAGGCTTTAAAGACCATAAGCAACACTTTGGATTGTGCTTGGAAACAGACTGGCAGCCAGTAGAGCTGTTTCAACAGGGAGTTGTCTGCTCCCTGTAGCCAGCCACAGTGAGCAACCTGGTTGTAGCTCTTTGGACCAGCTGAAGTTTCTGAGCAGTCTTCAGAAGCAACCCCACACAGAGTGCGTTACAGTAATTCAGACGGGATGTAATTAAGGTGCATACCACCGTGACCAGATCCGGCCTCTCAAGGAACAGGCACAGTTGGCGCACAAGTTTAAATTGTGCAAAGGCCCTCCCGCCCCATCATCGCCGACCCCTGGGCCTCCAGGTTCAGCCCCGAGTCCAGGAGGACCCCTAAACTGCGGACCTTTGTGTTCAGGGGGAGTGTGACCCCACCCAGCACAGGCTGGATCCCTATTCCCTGGTCTGCCTTCCGACTGACCAGGAGCACCTCTGTCTTGTCCGGATTAAGTTTAAATTTGTTTGCCCTCATCCCATCCATTACTGATGACAAGCACTGGTTTAGGGTTAGGACGGCTTTCTTGGCTTTAGGGGGAAACTACCACTGATTAGACACGGAAATAGACAAGTTTTGTGTTTGTTTGCCTTTTACGAATTTGGGCAGGGAGGGGAAATGTATTCAGTTTAAACATCTGCTTTACAATACTCTGTTAACAGCCTCCTGAAAACTCCTGCCTTTCCTTTTGATGTTGCTTTTTGAGGGGAGCCATGAAGAGGTTTTTTTTAATCTTAAGGAGTCAGTTTCTGGAAAGCATTATTAATTCTATTTTGGTAAAAACAGTAATGCGGGAGGGCCCTGTTTCTTCACCAATGAGAAGCCCAAAGTCATTGTGTACTTCGCCCCCACTTGGCAGGTTTGTTAAAGAGATGGACAAGAATACAAGACATAATTTTGGCTAGTATTTATGCTCTTTCCCTGACTAGGCTTAGCTGTCGAATCTGGCTATATGGGCTTGCCCAATAGGAATGGGAAGGGAAGCATTTCCCTCTTGCAGAGGTAGCCATAATCAGAGCTATACACAAGGGTGCCTTCTAACAGCACCAAATAAAGGCAACTCTGCCATACATTCATGGCCAAGTGGGGAGGGACTGAATAGCTAGGAGAGGAAACAATCGCAGATTCTGCTGTCCTAAGATCTTACATTCATCTGTTTAAACAGAAGACTCCTCACTAGAATAGCAACAGTAAGCCTTCCTTGAAGCCATCATGGAGGCAAGATGGATTTTCAGTGTTTGTGAGAGTGGCCAAGTCTAGCTAGTTTGTGTGTGAACTACCCAATTAGAAAAAAAGATATGTTACCCAGAGGAGCAACATGGATTGCACTGTGAAAGACTTAACACATATACACAGTATAGGCTCTTTAATGAGGTCAGTATAGGCTCTTTAATGAGGTATTCTATATTATTGACATAACAACAGCACCTCCTACAGAACTGCTTCTAAAACTGTGGGTTCCAACCCCAAATAGTTGGGTCACTGTACTCCACAGAAAGGAAAATCAGCCTGTTTAGCAGCCTTCCAAATGCTGATTTGATGTCAGTATATGTTTGATTTCTTGTACCTATTTTATATACCTATATACCTGGAGTCACATAAAAGATTTTAGGATTGGAAAGTAGTTGCAAGTGAAAAAAAATTAAGAAGCCCTGCTCTGCTCTTGAACACCAGGAATGTTGTCTCTCCTGTCTTCCTGCTGGAAATCTCTGTTGTAGGCATATGTGTGTGACACTTGTTGACATATGCGAAACCATTAACTTTATAGGGTTTCTTTGGCAAGGAATACTCAAGAGAATGTGGGTTGTTGTGTGTTTTCCGGGCTGTATGGCCATGTTCCAGAAGCATTCTCTCCTGACAATACTTTGACAATACTCAGAGAGTGTTTTGACATTCCTTCCTCTGAAATATACAGATTGCAGCACTTGGTATTTGTTGGCAGTCTCCCATCCAAGTACTAACCAAAGCTAACTCTCCTTAGCTTTCCAAGATCAGGTAGGATGTGTTGCCTTTAGGATACTTAGGCCTTGCATGCAAGAATGCTTGCACTTAATTTCAAAGTGTGTATGCGCCTTCAGTTTACCAGTGAACTTGTGGTGAGCCCATGAATTTCACAGGGTTTTCTGAGGAAAAGAATATTCGGAGGTGGTTTTGCCAGTACAGTTTCATCCCTTTAAAAAAAACAAAAAAAAAACAAATGTCCTGAACTGGCTAGCTCTTCTGTATTGGGATTGTAAACTCATAAAGATGAAAATACACTCTAAATGCATTTCTCACTGGCAATTAAAAATACTATACCTTATCAGATAAGTCACACTTTTTCCTCTTTTTTTATCAAAAGGGGGTGTGTGACTATTACGCGAAGAAAAAAATCCTGAAATGGCATTATTTGGAGAAATGAGGAAAGAGGAAAGATCCGAGTTCCAGAGATCTCCATTCTGGGTTTTGTAAAGTCTTGACTTAAAGGAAAGAGTGGGCTCTAGTTACCTCCATTTCATAGTTTTTAAATTGCCTTGGCTTTCAGTGAAAGAAAGGGGGAACCAGCCTCAAATGGTTCTGCAACTATTATGCGAGGAAAGGGAGGGGAAATAAACCTCAAATATTTCTGCGACTATTATGAGAGGAACACAAAAAGTATAAATTTTGCCACCCCAAAAACTGGGATGCGCCTATTATGTGGTGGCAAATATTATGCGATAAAATACAGTAGTTTGGCTACTTGTACCAGCCAAAGTTTATTTCACCATTGTCTCCATGCCTGATAATACCTGTCTCTGTAACTTACCTCCTTCCCCTGTAAGAAACATGTTTTTTAAAAAATCTGGCAAATTAAAGAAAACATTTGTTGTAATATTTCTTTATTGTTTTAAAAAAAGAGCAAGACAGACACATACAGGAGGGGAGGAGTCAAACTCCTGCTTCAACCAGGTTTAAAATCAAAGCCCTCTATAAATAGCAGTGGCTGTTTTGATATAGGTTCTTGCCCCCCTCCCTCCCCAATTAGAAACACCTTTAAATAAAAAGTCTTGGTACGACCGGATACAAAAAAAGCATTGGGGAGAAGGAATGGGGTGGAGACACACGGGGAAAGGGAGTCAAAAGAGCGAAATCCTCTTCTGCCTAAGATTGCTGTTTTGAAGCTTTTTAAAAACCCACCCAAACAGAATCCATGTTTAACACGATTTGGGGTTCTCTGTCCTTCCAAAGTGACGAGGGCTCAACCTGGAGACATCACGAAGAGCAGTTCATAGCTTCTCACTGTGTGGGTGGGACTGGTGTGGCCGTGCTGGGGCTGGGAGCAATTGGATCTGATTGTAGTGATGGTCCTTGATCTGGGTTGAAGTAGAGAGGATTGGGACACATTACTGACAGTCCTGATGAAATAAAGAGGGCACACACCTACTGCAGAAATGCCTCGCTCTCATGTTCTTTCTCCTTTATCAATACAAACATTCTGATATTTAAACACTTGTGGTTTTCTCCCCCCCCCCCCCACCCCACCCCCAAACTGGGACAAAATGTCTAATGCAAGAGTACTTGATAATTGTAGCCCGGCAAGGGCCAGAGATTTCTGATGAGGATGATGGTTTTCAAAGTGAAGTGTCTGAGAGCTTGTCGGGAGATTTGCAGCAAACAGGCCAGTCAGGCAGGTTGGCCTGACCATGAACCTGCAGATGTTGTGCATACTGGGGAAAGTGAACTTTACCTGGATAAAAGGTCCTGGGAAGAGACGGGGGCACAGAGGTCTCAAGAGTAGCTTTTTGGACTCAAGGTGTAAAAACCAGGCAATTAAAACATTCCCAGATAAATGAGTCTCAGGTCCAGATGTGGCACGGATGTATCATAAATTCTTTGGTGGGTTTAAATTAGCTGTTTTGATTCTCTGCAAAGCAGAGAAGACAACTTTGCCGTGGGGAAACTGTCTTCTGCTCATGCTGCCAAGGTACATAGGCAAGACATCAAGATTCTTGTTTCGTGTTGATGTCTTGTTGTGTACCTTGTAAGTTTGCCTGGATTAAGCTTCCTGTGTTCATGTAGTTTACCTTGCATTATTCTACATTCTTTGATTTCTAGTTCCTGTGAAGATTCCATGGATTTTTAAGGACTTTTACTGAACTCTGACTGCTTTTGTATGTTGCTATTTATATCCCGCCTGCTGCTTTTGGATATAACCCCTTCCCCCCTTTTTATTATTCTTTATTTAATAAACGGAGCCCCGGTGGCGCAGCGGGTTAAACCCTTGTGCCAGCAGGACTGAAGACTGACAGGTCAGATGTTTGAATCTGGGTAGAGCACGGATGAGCTCACTCTGTCAGCTCCAAGCTCCCTATGCAGGACAGGAGAGAAGCCTCCAAGGATGGTAAAACATCCCAACATGCGGGCATCCCCTGTGCAATGTCCTTGCGGACAGCAACTCTCTCAGTTTCTCAAGTCGCTCCTGACACGAAAAAAATCAATAGATCAATAAACTTCTTATATTTGAACCATTGATTTCCAGTGTGGTGCTGGGTGAAAAGGTGCCTCAGGGCTGAGGTGCAACAATCATCAAGACGCTTTGAGGTGGAAAACCTCTCTCCTCCTCATCCTCCCTGGCCCTCTCTTTCTTTCCATCTTGCTCCCATGTCTCACCCTTGTATCACCTGCCATTCCAGTATGACTTAGTCCTACAAGAAGACAACAGGGAATAAAAACCTGACCGTCTCAAATTTCTTCTCAAATCCATTTCCAAATAGAAAAGGAAAAGACTTGACACCCCTTGACAATTTGGAAGCATCTTCTTCCCGTTCTATACTGAATCGTAAGGACACAGACTTTCAGAGAACACCTGGTTTGCCAATCTCAACTAGATCCTGAAGGAGAGGATTCAACAGGGATGAAAACCTGCTGAAGCCCAGCTTGATGTGCTGTCAGCTTCCCTGATGGCATGTTAGAAACAGAAGAGGTAGCTATTCTCTTTGACCTTCTTTAGCAGACTCTGTCATTAAAGCATATTGCAGTCTAGTCCTGCCCCCTATCTAAGCAAGGAGGTGTCCAAAATTCCTGATTTTCCTGAACTCTGAACAGGTTACAAATGAAAAGCAAGAAGAAGCAAGCTATCTGTGGTTGTAGGGAAGGAATTCTAAGTGAAATGGCTCAAACAAGCAAGCCATGCAAAACCATGCATAGGAGGGGCACATTCAAGAATCGGCCACTGCACATTATTTACAGCTGTGGGCACCCCTGATGCCTTTGCGTAAAATTGTCTTTGAAAATCCATACAAGATTCAGTAACTTAAACAGGATGAACATAGGAAATGTTATAAATCCTCTGTAAATCTTAGAACAGTAACCTTTTAAAAAACAGCAACCATGTTTCTCATATATGTGCACATTTATCACCAATGTACCTGGCATCTACGGTAGTAACCCTGAAAATGAGCACACATTAAAAGTTTAATAAAAGAAAAATATATGCTAACAATCAACAGCAAAGACGTTTGGAACACTTTCTTTCACTCAATATGGCCTCTGTTCCTTGCTCTGCTCTCTTTATTTCCAACTTTGAGAGCCTTTTCCTGGAAAGATATTTGTCAAAAAGGAGAACACAAATCTCCAAGGTCTAACTAAAGAGGTGTTGGATTCAAGATATGACAATTTACATCTGTCATATCTTGAATCCAACTCCTCTCTAATTAGAAACATTCATTTAAAAGCAAATGAACTTGTACCTAGAACATTGCACAGTGAAGTGCAACTCTTTTTCTTTCCTAAAGAACAGTTTTTATATCCTTTTATTGAGACAATGATAAGAAAAGTGTGCTGATAGTAATTAAAGTGGTTGGTTCACTTTGCAAACTGGAGCCCCCAGTGGTGCAATGGGCTAAAGCCTTGTGCCAGCAGGACTGCTGACTGAAAGGTCAGCGGTTCAAATCCAGGGAGCAGGGTGAGTTCCTGTCTGTCAACTCCAGCCTCCCATGCAGGGACATGAGAGAAGCCTCCCACAGGATAGTAAAACATCTGGGCGTCCCCTGGGCAACGTCCTTGCAGACACCCAATTCTCTCAAACAAGTCACTCCTGTCACACACACACAAAAACTTTACAAACTCTAGTTTTAAGATATGTTGGGATAAATAAAGGAGCACTGTGGGCATAAATTCTCAGTAGGGAACAACAAACCAAGACAAATACATATCCCCTTCCTGCCACAAAATGTGATTCATTTATTTTGCAATGAGAACTCAAAATGGGGCAATCTCTTCAAATGCCAAAGGAAATATCTTTGAGAACACTAATCACAAACACCCTCTTGGGAATTCCTAATGTGCAATAACAGCTCCCCCTCTCCCATTCCACCCCCAACTCTGGGCGAATTCTCACCTGATCCGAGACCAGCATTTGGAAGGAGGCTGCCCTGCATGGCTGCCACAATAGCTGGGCTCTGGGCAGCTGCGGAGCCGGGAGGCAGCGGGGCCCCGGCCGGAGGGTGCAGGGTGCTAGAGACGTTGATGATGGGCGGATTAGCCATGCTGCACGCAAGGTTACCATGCACTGGATGGATGGGCATGTTAGCAGGGAAGTTAATGCCGATGGAGTCTGTTACGTTACTAGCCATGCTAAATGGGATGGAGGCAGGCATTCCAAAAGGCAGGGCTGAGGGGATATTACCAGCCATGGCAGGGTGAACGGCTGCTGGGGCTGCCCCGGGGAGGATCTGGGATGGAGGCTGCTGGTTGGGGAACGGAGGCTGGGCTTCAGAGAGAAACAGAGGGAGACACAGAGAGAGAAAGCAGCAGTTGAGTGTGATGGTTTAGCAGCAAGCAAAGACTCAACGTAACTCATTAGCATTCACTGGGGTTGGGGGATCTGAAACATTTGATCACATAACGCATACCACATATGACATTTCCCCAAAAGCATCGACTCCAGGCACGTGCCATCATGACAATTACTATGTGTGATGTCTGACCTCAGCTGGCTTGCTTATCTAGTGTGAAACCATCACCAGAACATGAAATATGATCTCCAGCCATAAAATTATGTAAGTTCCCCAAAGGAAACATATGCCCAGAATTAATAAAGGATTGACAGTTATGTTGTTGTAGGTTTTTTCAGGCTATATGACCATGTTCTAGAGGCCTTCGACAATAGATTGACAGTTACTTAATCTTTGCTATCTCCACATTTAAGTCAAAGCCAATTCATTCTTTGCTACAGAAACAAAACTCTATGGTCAGTTTATATGCTACCCAGTAAGATTCATAGCAAATAAATTATCTGTTTTTTTCTTATGCGAATTTCACTTACAGTAATTTTAGAGCTAGGCCTGGATGTTCTGGTAGCAGCAAATGAACTGGGCCTTAATCTTTTATATTAATCCCTATAATCTCCTGTGGATTTGGCTACCATTAATCCTGTTCTGGGGACAAACTGAAAGACATGAAATTGTTCAAAGCCATTGGAGCACCATGACACTCATCCTAACCCATGTCTTCCAGAGTGAAGCCTTTTGGAGCAGAACAGAACAATTAATTGGTCTGTGCAATCCAATTGCCAAAGCCCCATTCAAACAACAGTTCTTTCTCACACGGATACCTAAAATGTGCTTAGGATCATAGGATCACACAATTGAGCCCCTTGTCCACACTTGATCTCCACAGGAAAAATACATAACAAGATTTCTAGCACCAGCATATAGGCTACATACACCTGTTGCATTCACTCTGTGTGTGCATGTGTAGAGGTAAATGCAAGGCAAGAACAGGGATGGCAATATTGGAGCAGAGCCCTATTTCCCTCCTCAAGGTTGAATCAATTCTAGATATTGGGATGCTGGGTTGTCCAGCATTGTTTTCTCTGGTTGCCAACCCATCAGAGTAGTATAAAAAGTGACACCTCCTTTGATAATAATGCCTTCAGCACTTGGACTTTTGGAGGCAAAGAACAACTGAATCTCTCTCTGCTGGAATTCTTCCTTTACTCTAAAATGTAGACTTGATAGAGCAGGCATGGACAAACTTCAGCCCTCCAGGTGATTTGGACTTCAACTCCCACAATTCCTAACAGCTAGGAAATAACGCTGTGACCAAAATGTAGGGGCACAAACCATTTCAATTTAGAGGCCTGGGAAAAAAGGGTAATTCAATTGGATTATTATCAACACACTCGTGGTGACAGCCACAGTAAGATCCCCTCTTCTTTCCATGGAAGTGGGATGAGAACTGACTGGGTATGTTCAATTAATTTCAAATCTATTTATCTATTCATCCTCAGTAAGTTCTCATCCCAGGAAGCAATCTAGAAAAGCATCACAAAATTGGAGGAGACTCCAAGGGCCACCCAGTCCAACCCCCTGCCATTCAGCTATACCCAATCAAAGCACTTCTGACAGATGGCCAACCTGCCACTGCTTTATTTACTTATTTACTGTATTTATATACTGCTTTTCTCCCCATGAGAAGACTCAAAGTGGTTTCCAACATAATAATGGCAAAATTCAATGCTGTACATATATGTAAAACCCAAGACATATAACTAGACAATAACATATAACTGTAAATTAAAAACCTGACCATATGAAACATAAAACATAGAATGACATTTGAATATAAACATAAAATTAAAACATCAAAAACACAATAACATTTATATTAAAACCCACCTGTTAAACAACACAATTTAAAAACACTTAATAACATCATGCCATCCAAAATCAAATTTGTAATCGTTCCATTGGTCTGTTCACAATTCCTTATAATCTCCAGAGAAGGAACTTCCGCCAAGTATTTTCATGGTAGGGAAAAAGATTTGCTGGGTCTGTCACCTCTAGTCTGCTGACAATCACACAACTGAAAAAATCCACTTGAGTACACAACGTTCTTCTAAATACCTACAATATCACCAGCAATGCTAGCCCAAATTTTTGAAGACCTCTAAGGATGGAAATTCCATACTAGCCTCAATAAGCTGATTCCTCTATCGGTTTCCTGTACAGTTGAAGTTTTAGAGCCCAGTGTAAAGATGTAGCTGCCTCAGTCCTAATGGAGCAGGCTCTTACAGAGAGGAGGACAAATATGGCATCTGGGCAGCAAGATCCGCATCTTACTGTCTATAAGGCTATAAGGAAGACCACACTGATCTATTTGTCTATACAGTCTTGAGGTGTGAGAGACTGAACTTAGAGCCACAGAGCCGTTTTAAATTTCCTGACCCATTACATGAGCTGCACGAAAACAGCTGCTCTCACTTACCATGGGAACCCGTGGAAGACTGTCCGGTCTGACCTGCACCAGTCTGTGCTGCTCCAGCCGCTGTCTGCTGTGCCTGGCTTGCAACTGCCTGTCCAATCTGTTCGGTCTGAGCCATACTGCTGGGCTGCCCTGCAGTGCTGGAGGCCGGCACAGGTGTTTGGGAGACAGGCATGGAGTGAGCGGCTGGTGCCAGGGGTGCCCCCGAAGAAGGGAGGGGCTGTGAGGCCCCAGGAAGAGAAGACGGGGGCTGCTGTTGCTGCTGCTGCTGATGCATCTGCTGGAAATGCTGCTGGCGAGCACGCATCTCGGCATACTTGAGCTGCTCCATGTGGAAGGCCTGTCGGTCAGCCAGGAGCTGCTGCCTCTGGTACTCCAGCTACAGTGAGAACAGCAAATAATGAGCAAGGCATGGCAAGCTTCTTCCCTCAATTCCCATCATACATTGTTCCTCTTCCTTGAAGAACGCTCTCTTCCAGTAGGCCTACCCAGTCAATTCTAACTTGTGAATTGTAATCTGCATTTCATCAATGAATTTTAACCTGAATTTCAACTACTGTATATACTCGAGTATAAATCGAACCGAACATAAGCCGAATTTAACATAAGTACCTAATTTATCACAAAAAACTGGAAAAATGTATTGACGCGAGTATAAACCGAAGGTGGTGAATGCAGCAGCTACTGGTAAATTTCAAAATAAAAATAGATACCAATAAATTACATTAATTGAGGCATCATTAGGTTAAATGTTCTTGAATATTTACATAAAACTAATTTAAGATAAGACTGTCCAACTCTGATTAAACCATTATTTTAAGCTTCTTCAATGTAAATGTGCTTACATAACCTTCCAATAATAATAAAGAGAGTAAAATTATAAATGTAATAAAATAATAGAGTAAAATTATAAATGTAATAATAATAGAGTGAAATAATGGAAATGTAATAACAGTAAGAATAGAGTAAAATAATAAATGTAATAATAATATAATAATAATAATAATAATAATAATAATAATAATAATAATAATAAATAGAGTAAAATAATATAAATAACTTTGATTCAAGTATAAGCCAAGGGAGGCTTTTTCATCCTGAAAAAGGATGGAAAAACTCGGCTTATACTTGAGCATAGACAATATGTGAATCTTGATATGTGTATTAGGCTCAGGCGCAGCCTGCTCAATACATAAACGGTGTAGCATGAGCCTTCAGATTTCTCTCTGGGTCTATAATACAGATCACTGGTTGTTCGCAAACCGTAAGAACTACAGTCAAGTTCCAATGTAAATACTTCCTATACATATAGGGTGGTTGTGGTAACTTCAATGTGAGTAGCCAATCTTTTTAAAAAAATGTACACATATATCAAGGTGCCACTCTGCACTTGGCATTTGTGCAGAGTAAGTGCATTTCACGCTGAGAGGACACAGCTCTACTCACTGCCTCACGTTCACGATCCATGATGGTTTCCAGCTCTTCAAAGTGCCTCAACTTGATCTCAAGCTTCTTCATCTGCGTTTCCACCAACAAGGCAACCAGGGACTTGATCTTGCGTTCTTCCACTGCTGCCAAATGCTGCAGAGAAGAGAAGGAAAAGGGAGTGGATCAATGCTCCAGCAGTGCCATGGCATTCTGAAAAGATCCCTAGAGAAAATGCCCAACAGATAATTGAAGCAGGATTATTCTAAGACACCTTTACATGTTCTTTAGATGTTTCCAACTATCTCATGCCTTATACTCAAGATGGAAATGAGAGATTGGTAGATCAGGTTTGGAATGTCAATCAATTATTTAAAAGGCTGTTTACCCAAAGGACTGAAGAAAAGAGGAGTGCAGTAATGGGAACGTGACTGATTTACTGCCCCTTCTGGCACAAATACTAGCTGGACGCCCAAAAAGACAGTAAGCATCGGCCATTCTCCAAGCCACTCACCTTTGCTTTTACAGCTGCAGCAGCCAAAGCAGCAGCAGCCGCAGTGGAGAGATTCCCTTCTCCAATGTCCCTCTCCACCTTCGTCTTCCGTTCACCCTCTGCCTCTGTAATATCCTTGGGTCCCTCTTCCTGCCCATCCTTGGGTTCTTTCTCCTTTTCTCCATCAGCTAAGAGACAAAAACACATTTAGCCTGCAGTTACCTGGGAGAGACTTGGGGAGGGAAGACTACCGATTAATGTCTGGATTTTTTTCCACTTTTGTTCATGCACTAAGAGGGTGCCCAGAAACTCCTAAGCATTTAAGCTCATTGTTTTCTCCTCTCAGCCCCATTTGAAACAAAGCCTTTTCACTCTCCTCTTCATACCTATTAATTCAACTGGTTACAGCATCTTGATTTTGCAATGGCAACTGCCTCAGAATTAGGATCTAAAAAGCAAGTGGTCTACTGTATTGCATGAAATCAAACACATCTCTCTTGGTTTTTCAATGGCAGCATTCTGTCAGAAATATTAAAAATTAACTAGGTATTTTTAATTACAAAAATGTGAGTCAAGCACTGAAAGAGTAGGCCGAAGCCTGTTAGAGTCAGTGGGCCAAAGCTAGTGTTGTCTGTTAGAGTCAGTGGGCCAAGGCTAGTGCTGTCCTAAGGAGTGTGAGGTAAACCTCTCTGTGTGAGAGTTTGCCTCAGTGGGAGAATAGGCCTCATTGTTAGTAGGCCTGATTGTGAGATAGGCCTTAGTCTATGAGAAGGTCTGGTGTGAGAAGCTTCAGTGAAAGAAGCCCCAGGTTAAAAGCCTCATGAGTAAAGCTTCAGTATAAAGGCTGCTGTGTGTAAAAAGCTTGTGTGTGAAGCTCCAATGTAAAGAACTTTGTGTTACCCTGTTATTGTAAATAGTGCGACTATACTATTTTACTACAAAGAAAAGCCTCCTAAAGAAGAGATATCATTGGTTTGTGTGTTTTTGTTCTTTTTATAACTTTGGGCTACTGGTGCTGGGTCACGCTGCTGCTAATAAGTACTCTGCTATATGTTTATGAGGACGGTCTTTTGTTAATAAGCCCACTCGCCCAACAAGTTCCACATCTGCCTCAGAATTAGGGTGAAAGAAGCAAGTGGTCAACTGCATTGCATGAAATCAAACATATCTCTAGCTCAGGCATTGGGACACATAGCTATAGGACTCCAATCCCATTAAAGCTTCTAGTTAACTAGTTATGGCACAAACTCTGTTATTTCCTGGGAGGTGGCACTCACCCATCGTGTCCCCATCTGTCTTGTCCATTTCCTTCTCGCCATCAACCTCTTTGCTCTTATCCTCCTCTTTCCTAGGCACCTCCCCAAGCTTCTCCTTCACTTCTTCCTCCAGGGCTCCTTCCCTTGGCTCCTGCATCGAGGGAAAGAGCTGACTGTAATCACGGGCTACCTTGCTTCTTTGAAAAATTGTGTGTGTCTCAAGGCACATAATCAATGGCTATAGATTTGGGTTAAATAAAACATTGAAAACTAAACTGGGAAAAGTCCAAATTGTCTACAGTTTCTCTGGTGTGAGAGAATTGGTCGTCTGCAAGGACGTTGCCCAGGGGCTGCCCGGATATGTTATCATCCTGTGGGAAGCTTCTCTCATATCCCTGCATGAGAAGCTGGAGCTGATAGACGGGCGCTCACCCCATCTCATGGATGCAAACCGCCAACCTTCAGGTCAGCAGTTCAGCTGGCACAAGGGTTTAACCCATTGCACCACAGCAGCTCCCTATGCAAAATAAAATAAAGGACTTGGAAAAAAGGCTATATAAGATGAACAATATGATGCAATCATATTCCATGAACATATTGTGACATGCTCTCAGTTTGCCCTGTCTCTGCTTTTGGGATTGTTATCCCCATTACTGTTCAAGGGTATAGCCAAGCCCTCCCGCACCTTCACCTCTTTCTTCTCCTCAGAAGCTGGTGGTTCTGTCCGGTTCTCATCTGGACAGCTTTCTTCTGAAATAAGGTGGGAGGGGGGGAGAGATCCAAAGATACCAGCATTAGTTTCTCCATGTAAGGCTCCAACCCACACCCTACACAAATAAAATGAATGGGAGTGTAGAAGAAATATTCTTCTTCCACACTCAATCAGAGGTACCATATGTTTGGACCATCAGACACTGCCGGACTGCAAATCTCATCAGTCCTCAGTACTGCCCAGTGCTGATGGGAAATGCAGTTCAGCATCTGCATAACCAGATACTCCCCAAATACTTTTCAACCAGACACAGAATTAGAACTGGGACTTAATGAGGGGAAAAGATCCAAAAGCTAGTCTCCCTCTTCCTTCAAAACTCAGATTGTGGTTTAGAAGCGGTTCCCCTTCTCCAAAGAAGAACATCCCAGAAACAGTTCAAATGGCAATAGGGTCAAAGTGTAAGCCACATCCCCAGCCCGTGAAGTGCCCCTTGCCTGATAGGGTAGGGATGAAAGGGAGTAACGCGAAGGCCCCTTACCCTGTGCCAGGCGATTGAGAGTGAGCTCCAGGCCGGAAGTCAGGCCGGCTCTGGTCTCCTGCGTCTCGGCAGCCTTCTTAGTCCCCACCGCACACTGGGCGAGGTCCAACGAGGGCGCTTCGCGGGTGGAAGTGCGGAAGGCACCCCGCTCACCCCCCTCACCTATTCTCTCCAGCTCGTCAGACGTGGTCCCTGCAATGCCGCTGCTTTCCAGACCAAATGCTGGGTCTGCCTTGCCTGTCACCTTGGCTGCTTCCTCCACCTTGCGGACATGAGCTTCCACCAAGGCTGTGGGCACCTCTTCCTTCATCTTGGAAAACTCCTCTGCGGAAAATGGCCTCAGAGTCAGGGCAAAGGTTCCGATCGGAGTAGTAGTCAACGAAGTGGTGCATACAACAGTATGAGGATATCAAAAGGGCACAAGGGTGCAGATCCAGTAAAGTACTACTTTTTTCCTCCCCCGCCCTAGAAAGTAACTAAGATTTTCAAGTGTTACAGATGAGAGTTGTGGGAAGGCAGAAGCTCACTGGAGACACAAGAGCAAAATAACTGGATCTGGCTTTGATAAGTCATTTAGGTACCCACAGCTCTGTTTTGCAGTTAAAATACCAGCAGATAAGGTGAAGATAAAGGTAAAGGTTTCCCCTGACATTCAGTCTAGTCGTGTCCGACTCCAGGGGGTGGTGCTCATCTACATTTCTAGACCAAAGAGCCAGCATTGTCCGTAAATGCCTCTAAGGTCATGTGGCCAGCATGACTGCATGGAGCGCCGCTGCCTTCCCGCCAAGGCGGTATCTATTGATCTACTCACCCTTGTATGTTTTCAAACAGCTAGGTTGGCAGACACTGGGGCTAACAGTGGGAGCTCACCCCACTCCCCGGATTCAAACCGCCAACCTTTTGATTAGCAAATTTAGCAGCTCAGCAGTTTAACCTGCTGCACCACCAAATACCAAAGTTTTACAACTTTTTGGACATTTCACATACACTATTTCAAATGCCAGGTTTTCAACAGATATCTACAAAAGATGTGCTAAAACATTAACATATACTGTTGATAAATATTTAAATGCAAATACATGTTAATGGATGCAAAGGCCCACAAAGCAACAAGTCCCACAGCACATACTGCACTGTGTTTTTGTTAAGTAGCACGAAGTGTCCTTTCCTTGTAAGAGGAGGCTGCAGAATGGAGCATTTCAACAACTTGAGAGACATCAACCCAAATTAGGGGATAAGAGGAGGGGTTGTTTGAGAGCGAAAGAGCGTGTTTGGGAATTTAAGTCTTAGTTCTGTTTTAAAACAGTATCAAACACAAACGGTGCAAAATCTCCTTACTGACTCCCAGGATGCCGCCCAGAATGTGGCATCCCGAGACCCTCCGTTACTGTTTGTTTGCTGGTTCTTATTTCCCAGTCTTAGCAACCCTTCCATATGTCTTGATCTGGGCCCCAATCTAAAATTCTATTCATAATCTTGGAAAATCTGGGCTTCCTAACTAGGGATGGTTGAGCAGGTTCAATGTGCTTGTGGACTCCCTGTTAATTACCTAGGGCTGACTTGGCTGCTGCCGATGCCACTCGAGGGTCCACGACGGAGGCGAGGAAGGCCACGGTGCTCATGACTGGGTTGCCCGACTGGCTGAAAGGAATAGGTTGGTAAGCGAGGGGCCCCAGGGAGGCTTCAGAGTCTTCCAGGTAAGGGTCCTCAATGGGAAGACGGAGAAAATGCAAAATACACTCGTCCTGCGTGCGGCTGCCCACGTGCTCAGAAACCTTGTTCCAGTCATCCTTGTACATCTCCAAGGCCTAAAAAACAGGTCAGAGAAATAACAAAAAGGGATTTAACCTGAATTCAGGGATTTAACCTGAATTTGAGCTTCCTCTTCTGTCTAAACTCCATTTTTCTTTTGAGTTGAGACATGCTTTTACTTATAAACACAGAAAACACAAGAATATGGCATTTATGTAGAAAGACATTCCATTTTTTAATGACAACCTCAATTGTCTCTCCTCTCCGATCTGTTTATAAACTACAGAACTAAATGAAGCACATGCATTATTCATGTTGGGGTGGGGGGTGGGGGCGAATGGGTCATCAAATCACAACCAAGAGAAAGGAAACAGGACAGAGAGAAAAGCAAACCATTCTTTAAAGTGACTAAAATAAATATAAATTAGAAGCTATATTAGTAAGAATTAGAAAAGGCTAGAAACTGTTAACTAGAACCATTTTCCTTTAGCCTAGGCCAGAGCAGATATAACTCAACTGTTTTTTAGCCCTCAGCTATGATTTAATCCCACAAGACCTGTTAAGATTCTAAACATTTTTTTGAATTTGTATCCTGCCTGTCTCCCAGCTTGGGACCCAAGGCAGCTTACAACACAGTTAAAACAAGACACAGCAAGAACAACAAAAAAAAACCTTGCAATACAAAAGTTTTTAAAACCAAATAATTTAGCTATCACATAAAGCTCTACTCCTTCAAAAGATGCCTAGCTCTATACTGCCTACTCTGAATCAAAGTGTTTCCAGGTGACTCCTAGAAATCGACCCTGGAATCCTTTTTCATATAAAACTATTCTAGCCACTGAACTAGGGCTCTTACTCAGCCCTTAGTCGTGGACTGTAATTTAGATGTTCTATTGAGTTTATCCTTAGCCTGTAGTTTAATTTGCATAATCACAGATAACACAATATCTGTATAAGTTTTCAATGCTAACTGAAAGTGGAAAAATCCTAAATAGCTTTTATCTAAGTATCTAGGTAGGTGCGGGCCTTGAGATCTGCTGGGAAGGCCATTTTCTAGGTCCCACTGTTAGAAGAGTGGTTGGTGGGGATGAGAGAGAGAGAGCCTTCTTGGTGGTGGCTCCCCGGCTCTGGAATGCCCTCCCTAGAGAGATTAGATTAGCCCCAAATCTCCAAACTTACAATTTGAGCCTAAGAACATAGCGATTTACATGGGCCTTTGACCTGGAATAATGTAGTATGGTCATGTGATGATGTCGGCCATTGTTATTTGGTACTTTAGTTTGTGTTGAAGAAACCCAATGATCCACAGGTATGACTGTGTTTTAGAATTTTTAAAATTTTTAATTTTATCAACTGACGTTGTCCATTGTTTGTATTTAGTCAAACTGTGTATTGTTTTGATTACATGTAATTCTATTTTGTGTGGCACATTACATCATTCAACATAGATATAGAACACATCCATTTCCAGTTTATTTTAGCTAGTGAAAATACAAATGAATGAAGAATTTAGCAATAAATAAACTGGGGCAGAATCCCTAAAGGAAATGTGCAAGTAATTGTGAGGGACCCCCTCAGAATTCACTGCCAAGCATCAGCTTCTTTGTCCACTCACCTCTAAAAGCAACAAGGTTTCCTGCTCTGTCCACTCGCGGGTAGCACTGGCAGCAGCTTTGCTCTGTAAGGGAAGGACAGGTGTTAGAGCGGATTTGTCTCCGGATGAAGGTGTGAGAAAATCAATTCTTGCCCTCTCTTTACCTTGGAAGGAACATTTTTCTTCGTATACATGTCAGTACGAAGTCCAAAGTTTTGCATATCAGGTGGTTTCTCCTTACTCTTGTCAGGGAAGTTCAGCATCTGCTGTGAAGCTGTGGTTTGCTAGGAAGAAAGAATAAGAACTTTGTGTGATATTGAGTATGTTGGATTGAAAGCAACCTTACACTTTTACTGTGCCAGTGTATACTAAACCCAGAAAGAATGTCTTGTCAGCTTCTCACATGAGTCTACGCTTTCCATGATAGAGCTCCATTTTATCCCTTGATACATTTTGACTCCCAATCATGAAAGTTCACAGTGGTATGGATGCCATCAAGAAATTATACCAATTGACATCTAAGAAGCCTCTCAAGGCAGTGGTTCTCAACTTGTGGGTCCCCAGATGTTTTGGCCTTCAACTCCCAGAAATCCTAACAGCTGGTAAACTGGCTGGGATGTCTAGGAGTGGTAGGCCAAAACATCTGGAGACCCACAGGTTGAAAACCACTGCTCTAAAGTGAAAGGAGCCACAATTCTTTTTTAAATCATCCTTAAAAACCTCACAAGATGGACGTAGATCAGATTTAGGCTACCTGGAACTCCACAATTATCCATGGGAAAGTGTACAAATAACCTCATTCTCTTAGCTCCCATAACTACTGAAAATCTATTATTTTCTCTGAAAGCCATCATACCATTTCTGGTTTCCCCTTCACGGTCTCTGTGACAAGGTCTTCAATCTCCTTGCTCTTCCGTCCAGCCTTAGTGTCACTATCAGTCTGACGACCCTGAAGAATACAAGCAAGATTCTGCTCTAAGTCCCATTCTCATTTAGATCAATATTTTACTGTGGGAAGACCAAAAGGGGAGGGGGGGGAGATGTTCTAAAGAAGCAGGGAGAACTTGAAGGTAAGAAAGTGGTTCAAACACGTGTTTCATTCTCTGTACAGAAGTTCCTTTTACTCATCATGTTTTTCTTGTTTCTGCTTCTCAAAATATGGCTATTAATTTATTTTTATCAAATCTTTTTTCTAACTTTTCATTGTGCTTATGTATGGTCTTACCTTGTATTTAACACTTGATTTTACTACTAGTTTTCCTGGAGACTTTTAGTAAGTTGATTAACAACATTTTAACTGAATAAATGTCATTAAATAAAAATGTTAACATTTCTTCTCATGTTTGAAAAAAAAAATCTACTCAACCTGGGGTGTTTTGGGTTGCAGAGGTACCAATCCCGAAGGTGTATCAGCCAAAACATGGAAATGAGATGTTGGTGGCGGTCCCATTGGTGTTGGACGGCTCTCTGCATCCACTTGGTAATTGATCAGTCCCCACTGTTCCAAGAAGGCATGCACTCTGCAAGAGGCAGAACCCGAGCTCAGAGTCATATCAAGCCATCTGGCAAATTATTTCTTTGCTTTTAAGAGATAAGATATAGTCCCCCAAAAGGGCACAATTATGCCCCACAACTGGAGGATGCACCATACATTTTTTGTTTCTTCGTCAACAGTTTAGGTCAAGTCTACCACCTTTTCTACAGATAGAGTTATGCTGTTAAATACAATGAGAACAGTAACAGTTAAATAACTCAAGTGGGGTATGATCCTGTTAGTTTAATTGCAGTACTTTATTTCAAAGAAACTACAGCAGATAGCCTCTTTCCTTTTCCTTCTTCATCTATTCCAGTGATTCTCAACCTTTTTCTGACCAGGGACCACTCTCCAACATTAGTACCAAAAGGATTACGAATCAGTTTTTGGTCAACTTTAGATTCATTTTGGTTATTTGAGGTGCCATCCAGTAGTCGCCATCTGCTTGCCCACAGAAAACCATATTTAATAATCTAGAGCTGATGTGGTAGTAGTAATCTACTTATTATAGTGCCAAGGCAACAGGCTGACTACATTGCCTCTCCCCTCCCGACATCCCTGTTGCCTTGGCACTATAATAAGGTTTCATGAGACCAGTCATTCTTGTTGCCGCATGGTTTCGAGGCAACGGTGTAGTAATGGTGAGGGCGTGGACCATAATTTTGTTCACAGACCACAAGTTGGGAACCACGCATCTATTCCGTGTCTTAGCATACCTCATGATGGCACAGACATCCCCAGCCAGGTTCCGACGGCAGGCAGTCGAGGTGAGGTACTCCTGTGGATTGAGCCGGTACGTGTCAATCATAAAATTACGGTATGCCAAATAGCTAAAGTGTAGCAAGAAGAAAAGAGGAAAGAGAATCACTGTTGATTCAACTCATTCGTATTGTAAAATCTTTCACAGAGATCAAGCATATCCTTTCTCTGTTTACAATAATCAAAACATCAAGGTTCAGAACTTCTACATCTAACTTGACTGAAGCCCTAAACAATAAGGAAATAATTCCTCCAATCCTCTTCTTATCTTAAAGAAAAATACTAGGCTATTTCTGTTGTTATTGGTAAGTGCAGCCTTACATTTCTGGAGTCTTTGACTTATTTTTGCCGTTGAAAAATTCTGGGAGGGCTCTCCGCTCAATGGCATGAACACTACAAAGGACACAAAAAAATAAGTGTTTAGAGAAGAACTAGAGAAATGAGGAACTGAGGGGACCACCTCTCCTCCCCATTCCTACTCCAGCACACCTGTTGTAATCAAACCAGGCAGCATAGCTTGGGATGATAATATGATGGGTCTGCTCAGTCACATTGTCTTCATGCAAGTCAGGGTTTTTGGTCTGCTCTCCTTTGTTCCCAGCATTGCTCTCCTCTTCATCCTGAAACCAGAAGTCTCTTGAAAAGCAGCACTGACTCCCGTGATTTTTCCTCAGTCATTGTTCCTAAGCTTTGATTTAAAAGAAGTCCATGGATGAACTGTTCATCCACAAAAGTACAAAAAGCCTGGGTCCTTGATATGACGCACTCACCCTTCAGTCCAAACACAACTTATAGGATAGGCAAGTGAACAAAGTGAGGCGGAAAGAATCAAGGGACGGTTGCTACCTGAGAGTACTCAAAGTAAATGGAAAATTATGCAAGAAGAGGTTCCTCATTATGTTCCCATAATGGAATTATATCAAATTCTGTTGAATCTAGGCTAAATGGAAGTAAACAATAATAATATTGGCACACAAGAAGCAAAGCAAAAAAAATTAGCCAAAGGTGCCAAGTGCACCATTTTGCAACTGCCAGCTTTAGGACGTAGTGAGAATGATGTTCTACCATCAAAGCAGCTAAAATTGGGCAGAAGCATTGCGAGTGCAAGGGATAATATCCCTTTTATGCCACATGTTCTCTGACTTCAGATAATGCCAAAAAACAACAAAGAGACTGCAAAAAGCCTACTCAACTCACCTTGCCTACAGTCTCCATGCTCTCATCCTCCGGTTCATCTGAGAGGAAAAAAGCATAGGTTATCTATATCAGGAAAAGAAACATCTTTATATTCCATTTGCCAGTATATTCCAGCAGGGAAAATTTATCAGCTGTTCTCTAAAAACTTATCTTCATATCTCACAATGGCAATGAGGGAGTTATACTTCCTCACAATATATCATTTAATTTTTAGTCTGCAGCCTACTGTATATATGGCACAGACAGAATTATCAATGTAATATACAAAAATAACCTATGATTCCTATTCATATAATATAGAAATAGAACTATGCTGGAAACACAAGCAAAACGTTAATGGGTTGCTGTGAGTTTTCCAGGTTGTATGGCCATGCTCCAGAAGCATTCTCTCCTGATGTTTCATGCTGAAAACCTTTTATTATATTCCTCTATCAAGATGGAGGCCAGTTCTTTATACATAACCGCAGAGTTTTGCAAAGAGATATTGCAAGTGAAATAGCTTTTAGTACAGCACCTCAACAAAATGGTCAGAAATCAGTGAAGATTAGTCAAAACAACCACATGTCATATACCCCCAGGGATACAAAATGACACTTGGTTCCTACCAACACATAAACGTTACACAGGAGAAAAGCGTTCACAAGGAGGTTTCACGGTTTAATTCAAGAAACCAATGGCTAACAAAAGGCTGAGGAACTTGTCCTTTCTCCCACTACCAAAAAAAAAAAAAAAAAAAGATTACGGACAGAAAAGTATTTCTTACCCAAATCAGTCATAGTGCCACCTTTCACAGGAGCAGATTCGGAATCTTTCTTGGTATTCACTATATATAATAGAAAGAAGAAACATTTATCCAGGTCAAACTTTGGCTGGACTGTTACATACACCTTGTCAATGACTATGACTACATCTACCCAGCAGATTCATATTTCCCCGCACTAGAGAACAGAGAAGCACTCATATGGAAAAGAAAAATATTGTTTCGTACATCAAAATGTGGCACAGAGCAGTGAAGTCGTTCTTCTTATACCTAAACCCTTGAACTAACAAGATCAAGGTATGGGGTTTGGAAAAGAGAAATGACTGTGGCATGGATCCAGAGGTCCTGACCTGTTTTTGGTAGTGTCACTTCTTCAACATTGGGGACAGGAGAAGGCTCATCCATGTCTTTAGTGAGGTCTTCTTGCTCCTCTTCACGGTAACCACGCTTGGATTTGGTATAAGGAGTAGAAGGCCTGCAGTGGGAGGGATATGAGGAGAGATGCAATAAGCCTTGTTAGAGGGACCTAATACATCCAGAAAAAACTAGGAACCATTGTATCTAATATTCCCAACAACAGACTGTGCCAAGCCACGTTATTTTCAACCAAGTGAACAGAGTCTATCTTGTGGCTTAAATATTAGCTCTAGTGAGGAGACATCTAGCTGCTTACACCAAAGGAAGTAAATTAGAGTTGAAACATTAGACGGAAGATGAGCTTACTTGCTATTCTACACAGAGACAGGCACAAAGTAGAAAAGTTGGCTAGACCAGCACATGGAGAGTGCACAGGAAGGGCAAAGTTTCCAAATGTGGAAGATAATTACAAACCCTCATAAAATCATAGGGTTGGAAGAGACCTCGTGCGCCATCCAGTCCAACCCTCTGCCAAGAAGCAGGAAAATCAAAACACCCCCGACAGATGGCCATCCAGGCTTTGATTAAAAGCCTCCAAAGAAGAATCCTCCACAACCCTCAAGAATGTAAGAAGAGAAATAACTGCAGAAAATTGTCCTGATGGTCATAAACTCGAATTTTTCTTAAAGAGGTAATTTAAGGAACACAGCAGAAAATTCACAAATATATAGACAGAAGGGACTTAGGATGGCTCATGTCCAGGTGGCACAGGAAAACCTGTCCTCACCCTTTCTTGGCATTCTTCTTTTTAGCTTCTGGAGTTGGTGAAGGGGAGGGAGAACGCTTTCTTTTCTTATAGTTCCCTCCTTTCTTGTCCCGCCGGTCTGAGTCAGGGCTGTTAACCTAATGAAATTGAAAGAGGCATCCATATTAGCAAGTTGTGATTATTAGCACACACTGAAAGAACCAGTAAAAGTTTCTCATTTCCTCATCTTCTATTGTAAGCTGTTTTATAACTGGAAGGCCTCAGTTTTATGGATCTCATAGTCAGAGGAGCAGTGCACAGGCATTAGTCTCAAAGCATGCACCTACTGCTGGATTATACCACCAAGATCATTTGAGTGTTTTATTGTGTGCTAAAACTTGCTGTGCATCTTCTAAACAAGCACGATATGGAAAAGATATAGCATAGCTTTCTTGCCGACAGGTTGTTTTCTATATGTAGGAGATGTTTTACTTTTAGTCCACCCTGCATCCCCTTGGGGAGAGAGAGCGGAATATAAATTTTATTATTATTATTATTATTATTATATTGTTGCAAGGGGTGAAGTTCAACATCATACCTAATGTCTGACATAGTACATCTCATCAACAGATCCTGCTTCTGATCATGCAGAGCTGCTCTGTCTAGTTAGAACACCTGTTTTGCATAAAATTCTTGAAATCGACCTATGTATGAAAGTCCGCTGGCTGCCAAGTAGTTTCCAGGCAAAGTGCAGTGTGTTGGTTTTGACCTTTAAAGCCCTACGTGGTTTGTGCCCAGGTTACCTAACAGGACTGCCTTCTCCCATACAATCTGTCCTCTGAGGGTCAGCTACTCCAGCCTGCCAGAACCACATTGATGGCCGCCACCCGGAGAACCTTTTCATTGGCTGCCCCAAGACTGTGGAATGACCTGCCAGAAGAGATCCAACAGCTAAATGAGCTGTTAGAATTTAAAGCACACCTAAAGCTCTATCTCTTCCAGCAAGCCTACCTAGCCAGATTTAATCATGAATTTAAAACTCACATCTTGAATCTGCTATATTTTAATTATTATTTTGGGTATTTTAATATATGTATTTGATAGAAATACGTTTCAATATGTGTATTTTATATAATGATTGTTATTGTTGATGACGTTGTTATTATATACTTGTTCAAATGAGAAAAAAACTAAGGCAAACTGCAAAGTTGTTCCTGATTAAATCATATGTACCAGTATTATCAAAACCAGGTTGTAAGACTACTTGATTATGAATATGGGACTTCAAATCCTAATCCACAAATACCATCTCTCTATACTCATAATCTAAAGGGGAAATATGAATATTGCTTTGTGGAGATTGTGTTTTTTCATGCAATCCCTCTATTCTCATTGATATTTTGAAATGTATATATAACTTTGTAGCCATTAAAGCATAAGTAATCAGGATTATGTAGTCTTGACTACCGCCCTCCTCCTCCTTCTACTTTTTCCAAAAACAGCAATCATCTTAATGGATATCTGATGAAAGTCCAACTAGGCCACAATTCAAGGCAAGACTTTCAGTAACCATCAGGTACTATAATGAAGATCAATGCAGGAGTTCAATTGTTTCCTGGAAATCAGGGTATAGTTCAATAATGAATCATAATCTGTGTTCTGTGCAGCCCCCAATGTATAAGCTAATCCTATTTCAGAAGGAGAATGGATTTCTTTGCCCACTATCCTTTATCCAACTAGACCCAGAGACTTCTCTGAATGGAGTATCTACCTCATCAGTGAGAGTTTTGGCAGATATTTTCTTCCTGCGTGAGACAGGACTCTTCTCATCATTGACTTCATAGTCTTCTTCGTTCATCCACTCATTAAAAGTATCTGTATCCAGAATCCACTTAGCATGAACCTGTGCATCAAGAGAAAAGAGGGTCACAAGTGGGCATTTTACACTGAGAAAGGAAAGGACATACCTCCCAGACATAAACAGAGGTTACAAGGAAGAGAACCAAAGGCCTCCTCAGGCTCAGAGAACATAAACTATTCATACAGGAGCTTCACCATATGCTTAAAGAGAGTTATGAATTACCAACTTTGCTTATTGATACATAAATCAAATTCGCAACTGCCACGCTTGATAAGAGAGGCACATTAGTTGCTTCTCAAAGTTTCTACCACCTGAGCTTTTACCTAGGAGGAAGCTTCAACAAGCTCCATCTATATATAAGCATCAAGTGAAAGCAATCCTTTACCTTACGGGGCTTCTCTGGGGTCGGGGCATCCTCCACAGGGGCTTCAATTTCACTTGCTGGGATCCAGGTGTCATAGCTATGCAGCAAAGGAGGAAGCAGCCAAGCCATCAGTTATAACACTGTAGTTATAGGCACAGCAAGCAACTCAAAAGCAACTTAGACCCCCATCATCCAATAAGGGAAAGAATAGTAAAACTCAAATCAGGTCCAGATTCTAAAGGTTTATTTTCATTTATAAGAACTAGAATGAATATCAGGAGAGGAAATAAATTGAAAGAGAACAGCAAGGGAAGGAAAGTTCAATGCCCATGTCAGAAGCAGCTTACCTGTCTGGGTAGTAGCCCCAGTGCAAAAGGACCTGCTTGTCTCTCTTCATAATAGGGCGGACCCACTCTTCTAGAGTGAAAAAAAGAAACTTAGGGATAAAAGTCTAGAACTGTTTGGCAAATATTAATTAAAAAAAACCCAGGGCCGTCTTATTTACAGGTCACTGAGAGTAATGTATCTTAGCTGCGATATATATAAAAAGGAACCATCCCCATCTCTGAGCAGAGCGGCAAAACTCAAGGGCTTAGTCTATCCTGGGAGAATCTCAAAGAAGCATCATCTGCCTCTACCCTCTCTGCTATGGTACTGCTTTTGGCCTTCCTCAATGTCTGTGTTGGGAAATGGCAGTGATGAATGACCATGGGTGGCTGTTCCCAAGATGACATTGGAGCTTTCCTTTCTTCATGGAATTATATATGAGGTTAACTTATATGTTAGTATATATTGTAGTCTTTAAGCATCTATATACTCTGGAAATGCTTCACTTCATATCATCTACATTATATTTTGTTACAATGAGTTGCTATAAGAAGAGTTGAGCAAAATCTCTTTTTGCCCTCCTGATCAGAGGGATAAAGACGTTGACTTAAATGAGACTGAGCCTCATCCATAATAATAGAGCTTTGGATGGTGTGAAAGCCAAGACAGTTCTGAGTCACTGACTTGAAATGAAGTCTCCACCTTCCTTGAAGCAGGTGGCACAGAGGAGGGCTTGGACCTTCCTCGCAGTAAGTAAGGCAAAAAGGGCAAGGATATAGCAGGACAGGCAGCCTTCTGTGCATCTCTACACAGAGGGTCATGCACCACTTAGGTGGGCTGTTTAACCTCCTGAACCAGGGCCGGGGCCATTCAAAGGACCAAATTCCTGAACAATCTCAAATTGTCCATAGGGGATGGTGCATCAACAATCAATACCCTCATTTCCAGCAAGTGGTCTAGGAAGCAATAGCTTGACAACACATAAGAACCAGTCTCCAATCACGGAAGGGAACGAGGCTCATAGTCCTCATCCACAAAGTTCCCATCAAAGGAGTGGGCAGACCTAGCAGGGAAGTCATTATCTACTAGAGGCATACAATAATGCTTGTGGGGGAGGTGTCGGGTCCTGGCCATTCCTTTCATGGTATTGAGCTACTAATTGGGACTTGTGCTGTCCTGTCCATTGGTGGTGCAATGGTATCGGAGGGGCTTCAGCTCTGACAGAGAGGTCCAGAGAGGCAGCACACAACCTGATGGGACAAGGACACATCCACAACAACCAGAGATATTGTAGATTGCACCTCAGTGACTACTGCAGGAAGAGTGAGCTCCTCATCCTCAGAACAAGCCTTCCTTCCAGAAGCTGGGTTGATGTGAGACACATCAGGGGTTCACCTTTGGGCCCCTGGTAGTTCAGCAGTTAGGACTGGCGGTTCATCCTGAGACACTCGAGATTCGCCTTTCTTCACCAATTTTCTGGACATTTTCTTTCTATCCTCTTTGGCTTCATAGGCCTTCCCTGGTGTCAGGAGTTTCTTAGGTGAAGGGGTAGGCTCCTTAGTTTTCTTTGTGTGAGAGGCACCCTCCTCAACCAAAAGTCTCTCGGGGGCCTTCATTAAGACCCAGGTTGAGGCAGAAGCCATGAATGATGGCAGCAAGGACTCCTGGTACAGGAAAGAATGAAGCCTTGCCTTCTGATTCTTCCTCAATCGTGGCATGAAAGCCTGGCAATGAATGCAGGTTTGGATGGCATATCCCTCACCCTGGGAAAGGAGGCACTTAAGAGTGTCCATCAACGTTGGGGAGCTTGGTCACATGCTGTTTGTACTGCTTGAAGCAGGTTGTAGAGGCCACTATAGAATAGGCTGAAAGCATCATAGTCAAGGTGCAAGATGAACCGAGAGCGGAAGCATCTCTGAAGCAAGACTAGAGTGGAAGCTCTTCTGACAAGAAACACAACAGCTTAAAATTCACTTTTAGAACTGAGAAATTTCCAAAAGACTAATGACCTCAAAGAGCAAAGGTTCCGGAAAGCGGCTGGAGTACAGACAAAAGGAACTGAGAAGTTTTGGCATCAAGCGGGCCTTATATAGTCTTGGGATGGTGGGTGGGCTTACCACCAAAACCTTTCTGCCTAATGATTCTAGAAGGTTCTGAACAGTGCTCTGCACAAGTGCAGAATACCCAGTTATGTGATTCACAGAGACAGTGAAGAAGAAAGACAGCCTGTGTTGGATGGGGCCGCACTCCCCCTGAAGACGCAGGTTCGCAGCTTGGGTGTGATCCTGGACTCATCGCTGAGCCTGGAACCCCAGGTTTCGGCGGTGACCAGGGGAGCATTTGCACAGTTAAAGCTTGTGCGCCAGCTGCGCCCGTACCTTGGGAAGTCTGACTTGGCCACGGTAGTCCACGCTCTGGTTACATCCCGTTTAGACTACTGCAACGCTCTCTACGTGGGGTTGCCCTTGAAGACGGCTTGGAAGCTCCAACTGGTCCAACGTGCGGCAGCCATGATACTAACAGGAGCGGGGCGCAGGGAGCATACAACCCCCCTGTTGCGCCAACTCCACTGGCTACCGATCTGCTACCGGGCTCAATTCAAAGTGCTGGCGTTGGCCTTTAAAGCCCTAAACGGTTCCGGCCCAAGCTACCTATCCGACCGCATCTCTGCCTATGAACCCACCAGGACTTTGAGATCTTCCGGGGAGGCCCTGCTCTCGATCCCGCCTGCTTCTCAAGCTCGGCTGGCGGGGACGAGAGATAGGGCCTTCTCGGTGGTGGCTCCTCGGCTGTGGAACGCCCTTCCTACGGACATTAGACTAGCACCATCTCTAATGGTATTCCGCAAAAAGGTGAAGACCTGGATGTTTGTGCAGGCGTTTGAGTAATTTAGTACAATCTGGTAATGGAACATAGGAATGGAACAATGGACGACGAATCTGGACTACGCTTGGATGATGAGAAGATTGGGTACGGTTGTTTTTTGTAATAATTGTGCATTGTAATTGCTTATTGGTAATTTATGGATAATGTGTTAAGTCAATTGTTATATGTTGTATGGAACCACTGCTGTTTCTACTGTTTTTACTGTTTGTGAACCGCTGTGAGTCGCCTTCGGGCTTGAGATACAGCGGTATATAAGCAAAGTAAATAAATAAATAAATAAATATCTTCTTCCAGTCTGCTACAGACCAAATACCCCAATCAGAAATGTTTGGGATTAAAAGTGGATTTTTTCTCATATGTAATGTGTATATATCTAAATAATATTGGAATATCTGCATATATAATGAGATATATTGAAGATGGGACTCAAGTCTAAACACACAAATTTTGCATGAAATAAGGTTTATGCACACTGGACCATCAGAAAGTAAAGGTGGCATTATTTCAGTCACCAAAGGGCCAATCTGTGGTAATCTAGGGATTTTGGATTTCCAGATAAGGGATACTCAGCTTGTACTAACAGCTATTTATTAGTATCAACCAGACAGACTGGTTTTATACAAGAGAGAAAATTTTCTGTCTCTCTCATCACTGTGCCTGACTCTCTTCCCCCATTGGCAATTTCAACAAATCATAAAAGCCACAGATCTTTTCCAAGGAAATCTTGAACAATTTTAATGTTTAGATGTTTTCTTAACTTTTATGGTTTTTAGTTATATGTTTTATTTACATATATGTCTGTTATATAGCACTGAATTGTTGCCAATTTTGTAGGGCGGCCTGAGTCTCTTTGAGGTGAGAGAGGGTGGCGTGTAAATGCAACAAATAAATAAATAAATATTGTTTATTGGACTCCTGGGTATTTTACAAGACTACTATCACAGACAGAGTCTGTTTTCAGATGCAGACTCTAGTAGAGGATTTTCAGGGTAGAGGAACACCTGCCAATTGGTAAAAAAAAATATAAATGGAAATCTCTAAGTCAGACTGTAATGACACCACCAGTTGAAGGGACGTTACTGATTTGTCAGGGTCTCCTACAACTTGTAATGAATCTACAAAATCGATAACACAGCCACTAGCTTGTAATATGTTGTTTATCTTCCTTTGATGTGTAGCGCGGCTTGACTTGAAAGTATACAAAACAGAGACTTAAGAAAAACTGTAATAAGTTTATTGAAGTATAGAAGCTTAATGGTTTCAATGTTTCTTAACTCCTAGAGGTACATTCCTTTAGTGGTTATATTTATAACCTTTCATAAAACAACTCTTAAGACGACTGTTCTTTCCACTAGACAGATTTTTAACTTATTTCCTTCAAAATGTGTTTCTTTCCTTAACAGATCACTCCAGGTACTAGCCTATGCCTTCCCTCTGTTATCTCTGTTACAGTAAAGATTCTTACTGGGGTTCTCTTCCCCTTTTTGCTCAAACCCTAACTACTAATCTAAATAAGTCAACTTGACCTATCTAAACCACACAGGCTAAAAGCCTAAACCTTCCTGATTCTCAACACAGTAGAACCAGCTTTCCCTGCAGTTCTCTGACCACAGACTGCCTATTTAAAATGCCTGCTCTTGCCAAGTGGCAGTTGGCTCCTCCCCTTTTTCCATGGCAACACATCTCAGAGTGAGCTGAGCTGGCTACTATCCCCCTAGTTAGGCTATTTTAAATACTTACCCCTTTAAACACCTACCTATAATTATACGTGACTGTAGGTTAAAACTCACACTTCACCACACAGACCAAAATTAAAAATTAAAAAAAGATTTGTCTCAAGAAACAGCTAACAAATATTAGAATATAAAAAGTATAATTGCAACAAGCATAAGGCATCTTATCTGAGAAAGTTATATTTGCCTAGAGTGAAGGACTGCATTCTTAAACAGGGGAAACTTTTAAAAACTAGGTATCTGTGGTGTTTATTCTTGTGTTAACAAGTTATATTATGCAGTTAGGAAAGTGGGAAACACCATGATATTGTTGAGCCTCTGTCTCTAATTGTGATTATTGTTTTTGGGAATTTTTTTCCATCCGTGTCAGGAGTGACTTGAGAGACTGTTATTGTTGATGATAACTAGCTTCATCACTATCTGGAAACAACATCATAGGCATGTTTGCTGAGGACAGTAAAATCTAACAGTAATGCATTCTCTTTACTGTTCAGAAGCATGCCTAAATGCAAGACATAATCTATCAAACAACAGCCAATGACTAGGCAAGGTTAAGATAAAAATCAAAATTTCACACTTTCCCTGCCCAAAAGACATACTGAAGTCTCACCTTCTTCCAGGCTACCAGGAACTGGGAAAACAATATGGGAAGCATTATTCTTATCGTCAGTTACTGTTCCCTGAAAAGAGATTGAAAAGGTTCACAAAGACCAGATTTCTAGGAGAGTATGCCTCAGTAGCAGAAAAGTGACAAGAATGGAAGACAACTGCGGTTGCAGCTACACTGCCATATAATGCATTTTCCCACTGAAGTGCATTGATGTGCTATTAATACGCCCCCCCCCCCATTTTTGTTACATGTTTAAAAATAAGAAAATGTACTCTATAAATAACAAATAATGTATAGATACACATTCACATGGAACAAATAACTTTAAAATGGTAGAAGCACAAAGTTGTGGCAAGGAAGCTCAAAGTGAAGAAGCAGAAGCATCATTTTCTTCATACTGTCCTCATATCAGACTCCCTCCCTGTCTTGTTCTCTCCCCTTCTTTCTTCATGAAGCCAGACATACCAGGAATAAAAACTATACAAAATCAAATGATAGTTCCTCACAGTGGACAAGAGCAAAGCAGACAGCAATCTCCCAAAGTGGACAAGAGCATGAGGCATGAAGGCTGCTCCATTGAAGCCCTAAAGCCCTGTACTCTCGTGTGAGTATGCCCTCTGGAGCTCGCTCTTAACTAAAAATACTACTCATATGTCAAAACAAAACCCAGGCAGAGCAACAGCTTTTGACTCAAAATGCTCCCAAGTTGGGAAGCTCTTAATTAGGGGTTCACTGTACCAATGTTTATGCTTCATATAGAATAAATATTTGTAATTAAGAACATCGTGCTCTGAATGAGGAACTAAATGAAGAAAAAAACAAAATTTTAGGTTAAAAAATACATTGTATTCAAATTTTATTCATGTTTTTGCTGTTGTTATTGGGAAAATTTTACAAGAAACTCAGGATCCAATGTTTATTTCCTTTGCCTTAAGTAACAACGAAAATAACCTTTACCTGTTTATTATCTGTATTTTCTATTATTAATTGCTTCTTTATGACATATTTTATGTTACTCATATTAATCTTACAGGTTTTTGTTTAGAATGGTAATACCAGTAAACATTTACTTTCAAAAATTTGAAGTTGAATTGTTTGACAATGCTCATATTTGATGGTGTAAAGAATAAATGTCTCATTATTATTATTATTATTATTATTATTATTATTATTAAAAGAACATCCTGCTCTGCTCCAAATATTAGAGCTTCAATAAGCTGTTGTGAAGTTACCTGTCTGTGTAACCTTTAATTTCACAGAGACATAGGGAAAAGATTTAAATGACCTTTAAGTGACTAATCAGCAGAAGAAGGCTACTGAATGATTATGTCCACTTCTGTGAATCAAGTTAGTTTTTTGTGTTTAATTTTATTTTAAGAAGAATTATGGAAAGGAGGATTCTTGGGGCCCTCTTCCCTCCATGGAAAGTTATTGAAGTGCAAGCTCTTTCTCAAAAGAGAAGTAGGTTATGTTAGAAAACACATCAGTATTCACTTATATATTTTGGATCCCAAAGCCAACAAGTCTGCTGCAAGTTCAGACATCCCCACCTATGCACACTTCACTATTCTACAGTCTCACTCACCTGGTGTCGTTTGATGATGTCTTTCAGCTTGGCCTGCAATTTAGGGTCAATATCTTGGTGCAAATAGATGTTAGGCCTGGAGAGGCAATTGTTCTGGAAAAAGGAATAAATGACACAAATGAGGAGAAGGAACTGATTCTAAACAGTAGGTAAAGAAAGAAAACCAAGTCAGCTTACCTGCACCAGAGATTTTTCAATTGTCATGAACATCTCCACATTGCGGTCCATCCGTGATGGATTCTGGAAATCGAAACGCCGCCTTATTGAAAGAAAATAACATAAAAACTTCGTAAAAGTGACAATCCACACCTCACAAATAGTCTAGTTTATAAATGAGCGGATTGCCACAGAGTGTAATACCAGAAAATGAGAAAAGCAAATAAAATCACAGATTATTATTATTATTATTAACTTTATTTGTACCCCGCTAGCATCTCCCAAGGGACTCGATGCGGCTTACACAGGCCGAAGCCACAAAACACAATACAATAGAAAACATAACACAACAATAGCAGAGCAAATCAAAACAATAAGCAAATAACGATAATGACAATACATCAGGACATTATTAAAACTGGTTCGGCCGGCGCAATGGGTACAGGATTAAAAGTGCTGAAATGATAGGAGGCACGTAGGATTAAAAGTGCGGTGTGCAGCAGCGATTAGTTATGCTAAGGTGCTACTAGGACTTGGAGTGGGGATTCCTAGTCTGAAAAGGCACATCGGAACAGCCAAGTTTTTAAATTCCTTCTGAAAACAGCTAGAGTGGGGGCCTGTCGGAGATCTTTTGGGAGGGCGTTCCAAAGTCGGGGGGCCGCCACAGAGAAGGCCCTGTCCCGTGTCCCCACCAAGCGCGCTTGCGATGTAGGTGGGATCACGAGCAGGGCCTCCCCAGATGACCGAAGCGAGCGTGTGGGTTCGTAGATGGTGATGCGGTCACGCAAGTAGGGTGGTCCCAAACCGTTTAGGGCTTTGTAGGTGAGCACCTGCACCTTGAATTGGGCTCGGAAAATAAAAGGCAGCCAGTGGAGCTCCTTAAACAGGAGGGTTGACCTCTCTCTGTAAGGAGCACCAGTTAACATCCTGGCCACTGCCCGTTGGACCAGTTGAAATTTCCGAGCCGTTTTCAAGGGCAGCCCCACGTAGAGCGCATTGCAGTAGTCCATTCTAGAGGTGACCAAGGCATGGACCACCCCGGCCAGATCAGCCTTCACGAGGTATGGTCGCAGTTGGCGCACAAGTCTCAGTTGCGCAAAGGCCCTCCCGGATACCGCCGACACCTGAGCCTCAAGTGTAAGCGAGGAATCCAAGAGGACACCCAAACTGCGGACCTGTGGCTTTAGGGGGAGTGTAACCCCGTCCAACACAGGTGACCACCCTATACCCCGATCCGGTTTACGATCGACCAGGAGGACCTCTGTCTTATCGGGATTGATCTTCAGCTTGTTCTTCCTCATCCAGATCGACACAGCGGCCAGGCACTCGCCTAGCACCTGAGAAGCCTCCTTGGAATTAGGTGGAAAGGAGTAGTAGAGTTGTGTGTCATCCGCGTAGAGATGGCACCCAACTCCAAAGCTCCGGATGACCTCTCCCAGCGGTTTCATGTAGATGTTAAAAAGCATGGGCGACAAAATAGAGCCTTGCGGGACCCCACAGGTCAAAGGCCAGGGGTCAGAGCAGGCGTCTCCCAGCTTCACCATCTGAGTTCGTCCCTCCAGGAAGGACTGGAGCCACGACAAAACCGTGCCCCCAAGGCCCATCCCGGAGAGACGACCCAGAAGGATACCATGATCGATGGTATCGAAAGCCGCTGAGATGTCCAAGAGAACCAGCAGAGTCACACTCCCCCTGTCCAGTTCTCTGCGGAGGTCATCCACCAAGGCGACCAAGGCTGTCTCGGTGCCATGACCAGGCCTGAAACCAGACTGTGACTGATCTAGGTAGTTGGTATCGTCCAGGAAACTCTGGAGCTGAGAGGCGACCACCCGCTCCAGCACCTTGCCCAGAAAGGGGAGGTTAGAGATCGGTCTGTAGTTACTCAGCACCGTGGAGTCAAGGGAAGCTTTTTTAAGGAGTGGACGGACCACAGCCTGCTTCAAGTTAGATGGAAAAATTCCTTGCTCCAACGATGCATTGATAATCGGTACAAACCAGTCAAGCAACCCCCCTCTGGCAGATTTAATGAGCCAAGATGGGCATGGGTCCAGAGATGAGGTGGTCGCTCTCACAGCCCCAAGAATCTCCTCTACGGTTTCAGGAAGAACAAGCCTAAAAGAATCCCACAAAATTGGACAAGCAGATGCCTCCGTCACCTCTTCTGGCACTGCGATAGAATTGGAGTCGAGCTCAAGACGTATCTGGGCGACTTTACCTGCAAAATGGTGTGCGAAATCGCGACACCGAGCTGCAGGGTCATCAGCGACCTCCTCCGCCACAGGTGGGTGGAGGAGTTCCCCCACGACCCGAAACAGCTCCGATGATCTATTTGCTGCAGATGCTATACGAGTGGTCGTGAATGATTTCCTGGCCTCCCGTATAGCCACGGAGTATGCCTTAAGAGAGGCTTTAGCCCGTGCTCGATCAGATACTGCTCGAGATTTCCTCCATTTGCGCTCTAGCCCCCTTCTCGTATGCTTCATCACAGCCAGCTCCTCGGTGAACCAAGGGGATGGCCTGTCACGGCGCAACGAGATGGGGCGTTCAGGTGCGATCGTATCTAACGCCCTGGACATCTCCCTATTATAGAGAGCCACCAAGGTGTCGATAGAATCGCCAGGCTCCGTGGCAGGAAGAACCCCAAGATTCCTCAGGAATCCATCCGGATCCATCAGTCTCCTAGGGCGGACCATCTTAATTTGTCCTCCACCCCTGCGGAGGTTTAGGGTCGCAGCAAGTCTAAAGGTGATCAGATGATGGTCAGACCATGACACTGGAAGGATGTTTTGATCTTCCACTCTGACCATTTCGTTGTCCGCCACAAAGACAAGGTCGAGGGTATGTCCTGCTTGATGAGTGGGGCCAGATATTATCTGTGACAGTCCTATGGTCGCCATGGTGGCCATAAAGTCCTGAGCTGCGCCAGATAGAGTGGTCTCAGCGTGGATGTTAAAGTCTCCCAGCACCACCAGGCGCTGGGAGGCCATGGCCGAATTAGAGACCACCTCCGCTAGCTCAGACAGGGAAGCTGCTGGGTCACGGGGTGGGCGGTACACCAGCAGGAACCCCACACTGTCACGGCTCCCCACCTTCAAGTGGACACATTCGAACCCAGAAGCCTGCGGAACAACGCATCTGGTCACGGCGATGGATTGCCGGAAGACTACTGCGACCCCTCCTCCCCGCCCCCCTTGTCTGGCCTGTTGATGCACTCCAAAACCTGGTGGGCACAGCTGAGAGAGGTTTACACCCCCCAGCTCGTCCAGCCAGGTCTCGGTAATGCATGCCAGATCCGCCCTCTCATCCAGGATCAAGTCCTGGATGGCCGCGGTCTTACCATTAACGGATCTGGCATTGATCAAGAGGACCTTAATACCAAGGGGGCTGCCAAGGAGCCTACCACTACCCACCTTTTCCAGGGTCGCAAGGAGTGGCACTTAGTACTATGCACCCTAACTGGAAGATCCATGTATATAAGGCTTCACTCCACACTCATGGCATCACCTCCAGGCTTACTGCTTTATATATTTAACACAGCAATGTTCAGCATAAAATATGCAATGACACTGTCGCAGCACCACTTTCACTGATTAACAAACTCAACTCAAGTTTATATATTAGAAACAGGAAAAGATCGAAGCGCACCAAATATATTATATAAATATATTTCATAGATTACTATCTAAAATCTTACAACACAATGCATTTGTTGGTTTTTTTTAAAGAGCTCTAAAACAGGATTGCTGTAACTTTTTCAGGCTGTATGGCCATGTTCTTGAAGCATTCTCTCCTGATGTTTCGCTTGCATCTATGGCAGGCATTCTCAGAGGTTGTGAGGTCAGGAGAGAATGTCAGGAGATAATGCTTCAGGAACATGGCCATACAGCCCAAAAAACTTACAGCAACCCAGTGATTATGGCCATGAAAGCCTTCGACACCACAGCCCTAAACACTGCAACAAGTTTAATACATCTACTGCTCTTGAAATGGTGAAAGTGGATGTCTATATATTATTAGCCACTAGAGGGAGGAATGTATATTCATTAAGGTTTATTAACAGAATAAAGTAACAAGTTTGATTAAAATGCACAATACAGTATTATATACCCCTTCCCTATGGCAAATTGAAAGGGTGGGAGTGGGAGATAAACTAGTATTAGCAATTCCCTCAACACCTAACTTTCAATATTTGGAAGTCCTTTGCTTGAAAAAAAAAACTAATAATGCACTCATTCATTTTTGTACAAAACCAACAAATGTAGCCCTGTAGGTATACATAACAAAGCTCCCTGACCTACCATGGGATGTGGTGAGAACAAAAAGAGGGCTTACCATCCTTGGTCACTCTTGAATTTATATGCTGCTGCAAGGATGTGACAGAGGGCACCACCAGCTTTGAAATCCAAGAAGCATTTTATCTATAAGAGGCAAAGGAAGCCAGGTTAGATCATATGTTTCTGTTTAACAGAAAACCTCATGAATTACCCAGTAGGGAGTAAAACATAATTCAGAGTACCTTTGAAAATGGGTCTGATGCTAACTATGAAGGATAAATATGTGGCTCAAAAAAGATCAGCATTTTCAAAGCAAGAGGGAGATTGTAAAGCCTAGGAAAGCTACTTGAACAGAGCTGTATTATTTGATGATTGACAAAGTAATAAAAGCAAAAACTGTTTTAAAAAGAAACTGAAAAACGGAACCCAACATTTGAGAACTAAATTATCCCTACAGTTATGAAGTAGCAACAAAAATAATTTTGTAGTTGAGGGTCACCACAACATGAGGAACTGTATTAAAGGGTCGTGGGATTAGAAAGGTTGAGAAACACTGTTTTAGAAGAAATGCAAGACAGAGGGAAAGGGAAGTTCCATTTCCTGTATCCTGAAAAGTCCTACTTGCAAATAGCATGAAAAAAGTTTCCATTTGCACAAATGAAACTTTTCTCGCTAAGCCCAAATGCTCCATGCATGGAAGAGAGAAACAATGGAGGATATGAGCGATATCCACGCACAATGGAGGTTAAATCTGACCTATAGGCCACCCGCTTCTCCTCTGGTGCAAATGTTGGCCCTTGGGAAAGATGTGTTGCATTAGAATGGTCTACTTTTATTACAACAGAAACAGTTAATCTCAAAGCTTTGAAAGAGGGTGAGAAGCAAAAGGGAGGGGGATGAGAACAATCTCAGATGGTGTTAAATAATAATTCCCACCCTAAAAACATTATAGGTATCCTGCTGGATTGGAACAATGAACTACTGGCCCAGAATTCTGAAACCAGACCCCACTGGAAGGCCCACAGGTGCAAGAGGAGCAGGTACCATGTAATCCCACAAAGCTCCAACAAAATGTGTGCTTTGTATGTTCAAACCTCCATTACCTACAGTTACAGGGGCTCAGAGCTGTACATACATTATACAGATAGTGGTATGTTGAGCTGCTAGATTCTGGACAGCATAATGGAGTGTCATGTTTTCTTTTAAGTATTTCCTCATATAATTTTTCCCCACGTGTATTGAACTCTAACATCAGCTAGAAAGGCCACCCATCCATGTGTTCATTTTCTGAATACTAGAAGGTTATTTTTAACCTTGGATAATACTGATAGCTATTGTAAGTATTGCCAAAGTCCAGACCTCAGCCTACTACCCCATTCTTACAAAAATAAAGACCAGGGAGAAGATACATAGAGATTTCTTTCAAAGATCGTAATCTGCCATTTCTCAGGCTTGCTAGGAAAGGGCTAGATGATCCTTTACTCTGTTTAAGAACATAATCCAGTTCCTGATATGATTGACTCAGTAAAAGATGCTTTTCTTCCTCTACCACACAGAGATTAAGAAGACTGAAGCACTCACCGGTAATTTTGTGAGCGGTGCATTGCTGACGTGCTTTCCAAAAACTTCCTCTTGGAACTGTAGTAGCTGCACCACTAGGCTGGACAATGACTTATTGGTAGGTGGTTCTGCTTGGATGTACTGTGGGAATAAGGTTTCAGGCTTTAAAGGAATCCTACCTAAAGCCCCTGAACAAGTACTCACTTACAAGACAGGGAAACATGTATGTGCCACAGGCAGGCAACATGTACAGCGCCTCATCATCAACTATAGTTCAAGATCAGAATATAGAATCATAGAACCATAGCGTTGGAAGAGACCTCATTAGCCATTCAGTTCAACTCCATGCCAAGAAAAAGGAAAATCACATTCAAAGCACACCCGACAGATGGTCATCCAGCCTCTGTTTAAAAGCCTCCAAAGAAGGCGCCTCCACCACACTCCGGGGCAGAGAGTTCCACTGCTGAACAGCTCTCACAGTCATGAAGTTCTTCCTAATGTTCAGGTGGAATCTCCTTTCCTGTAGTTTGAAGACATTGTTCCATATCTTAGTTTCCAGGGCAGCAGAAAACAAGCTTGCTCCTTCCTCCCTATGACTCCCCCTCACATATTTATATATGGCCCTCATCATGTCTACTCTCAGCCTTCTCTTCGGCAGGCAAAACATGTCCAGCTCTTTAAGCCACTCCTCATACAGCTTGTTCTCCAGATTCTTGATCAACAGTCTTTCCCAAAGCTGAATCTTGGGAAAGTTTCTTTTTTAGAATATAGTTCTCAAAATTCTCAGTGTTGACAATTACATTTAATGACTGGATTATATTATGACCTAAAGAGGATGACACTAGACCTGCTACCACTGCTTTTTCCTTTGTATTTTGGGTAGGGAAATATGAAAGGGAAGGAGAAAAAACATACAGCACACATAAAAAGGCTATTTCTAGGTTAGAATTAAATGTAGAGAGAGCCTGTTACAAAGCAGGAATCATTTTCCTTTCCTTCTAACATTTATATGTATTAAGTACTCTAAGGCTTCAATCTGAAACACACTTACTGAGGGCAGGAAGGGGAATAATAACTTAACTTCAGCCCAGAGTACAAGTGCTATAATTGTTGGACACAGCTGGTTTCAGCCTCCAGTGGTTTTAAATATGGACTTCCAGCTCTAGATCTGCTCCAGCTCTCTTAGAAACTAATGTCCGGTATGGTGGCACATAAATCGGGACATTTCAGCATTCTTAAATAATTATATAGTACTACTATGAGAAAAAAGGATGCAGGAGTAAAGCTTTTATTTCCATTTCAATGATAGAATTGTAAATAATTTGACATAATTCAAATATTATTCTTTGAACATTCTGAGCCTAAAAATTGTGTTCCTTCTGCCCCAAAAATTACTTTGGAGTCTCAGGACTCAAAACTCACCAAGGTAAGAGATAAGTAATTAAACAGATATAAATGGTTGCATATGAAGATAACAGATGGTGCAAGCACTTCACCACAATCCTGTTGCTTTCATATTTTGCTTTTTCTGCTGCCCTACTATTTCTAGTCTATATCATCTGCATGCTTATTGGAGCAATGCTGGGTGGATGGGAGATTAAGATCTTCCCATCCCTCCTTCCTTATTAAATGGCATGGACACAATTTCAGCTTTGGGGGGAGTGAATGAGATTATTAGCCAAAGCCAGCCACATTCAAGATCAACAATACAATCCCATCCAAAAGAAAGTTGTGCTGTACTCCAAAATGTTTTATTCACATATAATGGTTCAACACACAGCAACCAATTAAGAAGTATTGTTTTTAAAGCATATTTCTTTATCAGCTCATAGCAATATTTATAGCAGTACGTATCAATACTGTATAGCATTATAATCAACATAGACCATCATCTTTCTTAGAGAGGTTTATTTTTTTCATGCATAACTAGTAAATGGGTCCCACTTGTGTCATAACAAAAATGGAAGCGTTTTTTATTAGTATCAGGAGCTACTTCAGAAACTGCAAGTCGCTTCGGGTGTGAGAGAACTGGCCGTCTGCAAGGATGTTGCCTATGATAAGTGCATATGTTTTACCATCCTGTGGGAGGCTTCTCTCATGTCTCCCATGGGAAGCTGGTGCTGACAGATGGGAACTCGCCCCGCTCCTCAGATTCAAACCGCTGACCTTTCAGTCAGCAGTCTTGCCAGAACAAGGATTTGACCCACCAGGGCTCCTTAACTCAAGCATGGGGAGGAGCAACCATGGAAAGAAACCCACTACCCTAAATAGCCCTCATTTAAACTTCCTTTTTAATTTGTCTGGAAACACCATCAAAACAGGAAAAGTTGCTCGCTGTAATAGCACAGGGTCTACAAAGGGACTCCATCTTGAGCTAGATCTACACTACTACATAATACAGTTTTAACTGCATGATATGGTCAATACAGACCCATATAATGCAGATCAATGCAGTTCAAACTGCACTGTATGGGTCTACACTAACCACGCAATGCATTTCAAACTGTATTATGTAGTAGTGCAGATTCAGCCTTGAGTTTTGGTGCAAATAACTAGGGCAGTTGACAAGAGATTCAAACTTGCTAGCAGGGAAGTGGTGAGCATGGGGTCAGAAGCTGTCATTCCAAACACAATGAATTGTCTGGGGGCTGAGGCATGCGCTCTCTCTCTCTCTCTCACTTGAAAGGTCAAAGGTAAGAGCCTGGGAATCAAGTCCTGGGCAGCAGCATGTGGAACGGAAGCAGCTGTCAAAGTGCAAAGCATTTAAGAGAGGAAACTTGCTGGACCATGCTTCTTCGTGTGACAGCAACTGAAAAGGCTGTGTGGGCCCCATAACACAGAACTTAGCCACCCAAGTCCCCATCTCCTCTATGGAGAGATGCATGTCTATAGGAGGAATTAAAAACAGCTTTCACATCAGCTTCTGGGCCTTTGGCTCCTCTTAACAAATTACAGAGATATTTTTTTTCGTGTCAGGAGTGACTTGAGAAACTGCAAGTCGCTTCTGGTGTGAGAGAATTGGCCATCTGCAAGGATGTTGCCCAGAGATGCCCGGATGTTTTACCATCCTGTAGGAGGCTTCTCTCATGTCCCTGCATGGGAAGCTGGGGCTGACAGATGGCGCTCACCCTGTTCCCCGGACTTGAACTGCTGACCTTTTGGTCAGCAGTCCTGCCAGCACAAGGAAGGTCGAGAAATACATTGAAAGTGTCAGGGGATTCAACATCCAATAACACTTATTGGCAGAAAACAGCAGACACATTTTCAATACAACCCTATTTGCAAACTGTAACACACAATGCATTTCTGATTTCTGTTGACATTAGAACAAATAAATGAAAGCAAGGCTGGATGCCCAAAAGAGGTTATTGAAACATCTCTCATAAGGGAATAAACCAGCACATCCCATTTCAAAATTGCAAAACTACTAAGTTTTCTGCTTGCCAAAGAGCACATCTCCAGCAGGAAGGAAAGGGACTGAGGCTGCTCCAGGAGAACGAAAAGCAATTTGAAGGTATTGGGTGGGCCAAAAGTCATGAAAGGGTTTCAATACTTTATTGCTCCTTTATTTTTTGTTTTTAATATACAATGCCATATATGATGATAGGTAAAGGTAAACATTTCCCCTTGACATTAAGTCTAGTCATGTCCAACTCTGTGAGGTGGTGCTCATCTTTATTTGTAAGCTGAAGAGCCAGTGTTGTCCGTAGACACCTTCAATGCCATGTGGCCAGCATGACTGCATGAAGCGCCATTACCTTCCCACTGAAGGGGTACTATCTACAGATCTACTCACATTTGAATGTTTTCGAAATGCTAGGTTGGCAGAAGCTGGGGCTAACAGTGGGAGCTTGCTCCACTCTCTGGATTCAAACCACCGACCTTTCGGTCAGCAAGTTCAGCAGCAGTTTAACCCGCTGTGTGCATATATTTAATTTATATATACATTACACAAGAAAAATTCAATCTCATAAATGGCATCTCATAAATAAATGTACATGACGTGTGAAAAATCCAATCTCATAAATGGCAATCCAATACCCCTGCATCACGTGCAGGATGCAGGACCCCTTTGTGACTTCTGACCCACCCTGCACTAAAATCAAAAACAAAAAATGCAAGGTCAAGTAAAGGCCTCAATGAATGAAAGTTTCCGTGTCAGGTCCTGAAGGGATCTGTAGAGAAGGGTGGGAACTAATGAATGGAAGGAGGAGAAGGGCTTGATCTTGGGGCAAAGGACAATAGGGCACCAGGCGCGAAGATGTCAAAGAAACGTGCCTGCCACCCTGAAATTGAGATTATGGCGATTTCTCAAGAAAAAAGGGGGGGATCTGTTTTCTAGAAAGTGCTGGTGATCCAAAGAGGGCTGATTCCTGATGGAAAGGGAGTAGGAATAATAAATGGAGGTGCTGCTCGTGGGCCAAGGGGGAGACTTTGATGCAAGACGTGCAGTTTTAAGGATCCCCTCCTTCCCTCCGTCCCCATAGAAGGCAGGGTGGGGAGGGGGCCCGGCGCCCCTCCGGTGCCCATCACCTCCCTCCCTTCCTCTTCCCCCTTTCCTTAAGATCTCCAGCCCCTCTCTCTTCCCATTCTGCTAACAGGCCGGCCGCGATCCGGGGCGGAGGAGACCCGAAAGGCCTCTCCGATGGCAGTCCGGCAGGCCCAGGCCCAGGCCTACCTTCTTGTAGTTCTTGCCCAGCCAGACCCGCGCGCTGTCGAACTGGCTGACAGTGTCGGAGGCCTCGTAGTACTTGACGTTGGGGCCGCCGTCCTTCTTCCGCACCGCCATTTTCGCAGCAGCAGCGCCGCCGCCGGCCTGGGCCGCGCCGCCTTCGTCTCTGGACGCCTCTCCGGCCGAAGGAGCAGCAGCCCCGCAGCGCCCTCTGCCGGCACAGGCCCCACCGCGCGCCCACAGCGCCAGCGCGCGCCCAGGCCTTCTCTCCCTCCCTCCCTTCCTCCTTCGCCCAGGCGCGGCCCTCGAGCACAGCGACCCCTGCTGGCCCCGATGCGCAGGCTCGCCTGAACTAGCCTGAGCGCCTCCTAGCGGTGGAAAGGCGTCAGCATTATCATAGCTCAATGCTGTGGAATATAGGGAGTTGTATTTGGTGACCCCCCCCCCAGTATGCTGATGACAACATTGTCTGTGCGCATTCAGAAGAAGATCTACAAGCCACTCTAAACACCTTCACAGAAGCATACAAGAAGCTCGACCTGACATTGAACATCAAGAAAACCAAAGTGCTGTTCCAGCAGACACCAGCCAACCCCTCTCCAATGCCAGAGATACAGCTTAATGGTGTAACATTAGAAAATGTTGACCATTTCCGCTACCTTGGCAGCCACCTCTCCACCAAAGTCAACATTGACACCTAAATACAACACCGCCTGAGCTCTGCAAGTGCAGCATTTTTCCAAATGAAGCAGAGAGTGTTTGAGGACCAGGACATCCGTAGGGATACCAAGGTGCTTGTCTATAAAGCTATTGTCCTCCCAACTCTGCTATATGCCTGTGAAACGTGGACTGTCTACAGACGTCACATGCAACTCCTGGAACAATTCCATCAGCACTGCCTCCGGACAAAGGTCAGTGTGCTGGAAGAAGCAAAGACCAACAGCATTGAAGCAATGGTCCTCCGCCATCAACTCCGCTGGACCAGCCACGTTGTCCGGATGCCCGACCACCGTCTCCCAAAGCTGTTGCTCTACTCCGAACTCAAGAACGGAAAACGGAATGTTGGTGGACAGGAAAAGAGATTTAAAGATGGGCTCAAAGCCAAACTTACAAACTCTGGCATAGACACTGAGAACTGGGAAGCCCTGGCCCTTGAGCGCTTCTGCTGGAGGTCAGCTGTGACCTGCAGTGCTGCAGAATTTGAAGAGGCACGAATGGAGGGTGAGAAAATGTGCCAAGAGGAAGGCCCATCCGAGACTACCTTCCACCTGGAAACCAATGCCCTCACTGTGGAAGAAGATGCAGATCAAGAATAGGGCTCCAGTCACCTACGAACCCACCACCAGGACACCGAACTTGGAGGACCATCATCCTCGGACTACGAGGGATTGCCTAAGTAAAGTAATAATAATAATAATAATAATAATTACTATACAACTTGGATTGATTACAAAAAAGCATTTGACTCACTGACACATTGTTGGATTATCAAATTTCTAGATGTCATCGGGGTTTGTGAAAATATTAGAAAGTTTACTGAAAATGCAATGAAACAATAGAAAATGGAGTTGTTTGTGGGCAGCGAAAGCTATGGAACTATTAACATCAAGAGAGGAATTTTCCAAGGTTACTCACTGTCACCATTGCTGTTCATCATTGCAATGATCCCACTGTCAGTAATTCTACAGAAAACAAACCTAGGCTACCAAACAGCAAGAAATTCACCAAAAATCTCTCACTTGCTGTACATGGTTGATCTAAAGCTTTATGGAAAATCAAAAACTGAAATCAAGTCACTGACCAACACAGTCAGAATCTTCAGCACTGACATCAGTATGGAGTTTGGCCTAGACAAATGTGCCACAATGGCATTAAAGAAAGGGAGAATTTTACTCACAGCGAGGGTATAGAGATGCCAAATGAACAAACCATAAAATGCAATCAGCCACCTTACTTGAATCTGCACGCATCATTCAAAAATACATCACACTGTCCTAGGCGCTTGGGAAGTGTTAGACTTGTGATTTTGTGATACGAAATCCAGCATATATATTTCGTTTGCTGTGTCATACTGTTTTTGTGTCAGTAAAAGAATAATAATAACAATGTGAGGATATAAAGATCAAACTGCAAAGACTCTGGCACAAGCCAGTAAAGGTGGTCCCAGTGGTGATTGGCACACTGGGGTGCAGTGCCTAAAGATCTTGGCCTGCACTTAAAAACAATAGGCCTGACAAAATTACCATCTGTCAGCTGCAAAAAGCCACCCTACTTGGATAGGCACGGATTACTAACCGATACATCACATAGTCCTAGACCAGGGGTCCGCAAACTAAGGCCCGGGGGCCAGATGCGGCCCTCTAAGGTCATTTACCCGGCCCTCGCTCAGGGTCGACCTAAGTCTGAAATGACTTGAAAGCACACAACAATAACAACAATTCTATCTCATCAGCCAAAAGTAGGCCCACACTTCCTATTGAAATACTAATAATTTTATATTTGTTGAAATTGTTCTTCATTTTAATTATTGCATTGTTTTTAAGTATTTTTTTGCACTACAAATAAGATATGTGCAGTCTGCATAGGAATTTATTCATGTTTTTTTCAAATTATAATCCGACCCTCCAACAGTTTGAGGGACTGTGACCTGGTCCTTTGTTTAAAAAGTTTGAGGACCCCTGTCCTAGACGCTTGGGAAGTGTCCGAAGTGTGATCCAATACAAAAGCCAGCATAGTGATCTTGTTTGCTGTGTGCTAATAAAATAACAACAACAACAACAACAAAGATCTTGGCCTGCACTTAAAAACAAACGGCACTGACAAAATTACCATCTGTCAGCTACAAAAGGCCACCACTTCTTGGATCTGCACATATTAGTCGCCAATACATCACATAGTCCTAGACACTTGGGAAGTGTCTAACATGTGATAAAATACAAAAGATAGCACAGTGATCTTGTTTGCTGTGTACTAATCTTGTTATGTATCAAATAATAATAATAATAATAATAATCTTTATTTATATTATTTATATTGTATCAGAAGCGAACTGAGGGTACAGTCATAATGTATTTAAAACCACAAAGTTAAAAACTTAGCATTATACTAAATGTCCTTTGACTAGTAGCTGGCCACTTGGGAGTGCCTGTGGTGTTGCTATAAGAAGGTCCTCCATTGTGCATATGACAGGGCTCAGGCTGCATTGTGGTAGGTGGTCTGTGGTTTGCTCTCCTTCACACCCACATGTTGTGGAGTCCACATTGTGGCCTCATTTCTTAAGGTTGGCTCTGCATCTCGTGGTGCCAGAGCGCAGTCTGTTCAGCGCCTTTTATTATTATTATTATTATTATTATTAAACTTTATTTATACCCCGCTACCATCTCCCCAAGGGACTTGGTGCGGCTTACATGAGGCCGAGCCCACAATACATCAATACAAGCAATAACAACAGTAAAACAGATTAAATAAAACTCATAACAAAAAAGCAATATACAATGACAATAATACAACACATAATTACAATCTATGGCTGGGCCAAATGTAATTAAAGTTAAAAATAATGCTAGGCATGAATAAGGTAGGAGAGATGGGGCGTTAGTGGGAGCGTACAACAATCCTAAATCAATGGAAAGTGCATTTGGAGGGCATAATGCTGAGAATTCATTATTCTGGGAAGGCACACTGGAACAACACGTTTTCAGGCTCCTCCTAAAGACTGCCAGAGTTGGGGCATGCCTGATGTCCTTGGGAAGTGAATTCCAGAGTCGAGGGGCCACCACTGAGAAAGCCCTCTCCCTCGTCCCCACCAGTCGCGCCTGCGATAGAGGTGGGAGCACAAGGAGGGCATCTCCAGATGAATGAAGAGATCGTGTGGGTTCATACACAGAAATGTGGTCACTCAGGTAGTCCAAGTCGCCCAGTTTTCTGTGTGCCCAGGGGGGAGTCTCTCATTTGGTATCAGCCATGGCTTGAGGTTCTGGGTTTTAGCCTGCCACTTTTGGACTCTCGCTTGCTGAGATGTTCCTGCAAGTATGATCTTACAAAACTATTTCCTGATTTAAAATGTTGGCATGCTGGCTGATATCCAAACAGAGGATGGGCCTTGGCTGGTTGACCCCTTCCTTAAGGTTAAGCGGCTGAGGGGGGAAAAGGCCTGAGGCTGTTGGGAATGGTGGAAGTCCAAAACCCCTGGAGGCAGGGCCCAAGTTGCCCGGTTAAATTTAGTCAGTTGGATTCTTTACAAAGCGTCAGTTGATGGAACTCTGCACCTGTTCTGGAGGCCTTCCTTCACATGGGACCCCTCAGTTCCCATAACTAGTGACTTGAGGGAGGCCACAAACACGAGGAAGGAAAGGCTCAAGTACAGTTCTCTGGGAAAGACACAGGCGGCTGAGGGAGAACATGGAGGGGAGGCGAAGCAGAAGATGAGGGAAGAAAATGGAGTCTGTGTTGTTGTTATTGTTGGGAAAGAGAGGAACACTTAAGAGTGGGGAAGAGAAGGAGGTGATTCCCCCTCCATCTTCTCCTCCTCGTCTGAGGGGAGACTGGACGTCCGAGGCGTTTCTCCTCCTCCTCCAAAAGGGGAGCGGAGGGGGGGGGGGGCTGGCCCAACCGCGGGGCGGCTCTCTCTAGCTGAAGCTCCGCGAAGGCTTGGCCCGAGCGTCACGGTGGCCGAGTGGTTAAGGCGTTGGACTCGAAATCCAATGGGGTTTCCCCGCACAGGTTCGAATCCTGTTCGTGACGGCGCCCTCGTTTTTGTGCAGAGGGCGGGGGGGAAAGGCGCCTCCTTTTAACGGGCGCCGCTGTGAGCTCCGGACGCAGGAGAGGCCGTTAAACGGCGGAGGGAGAAGCAGAACGCCGGGCCAAGGAGGCGCCACACCCGCTGCCCGCTTCAGGAAAGACGGGAGAGGAGAGGAAGGAGGCGGTTGGCGGGCCCGCCCTCGAAGGCGGAGTCGCAGGCCCTGAGTGGAGCAGGTTCAGGTTTGGAAGGGGAACATCCCAAGACAGGCCGAGGGGGCGCGCCTTGGCAGGCCCTTGAGGACTAAAGTGCTTTGCCATTCAGGCATCGTCCTCTTCCTCCCTCTCTCCCTTCTCCACCCTCTCTTTCTTCTCTTCCTCACATTTCTTCCCCTTCCTTCTTTCCCCTCTTCTTTTCCCCTCCTTTCCTCCCCATTCCCTCCTTTCTTGTTCTCTTCCTCTCATCTC